ATTATGGTATTCTTCTATTATTCTTAGTTTTTCTTGTTCGTCCTCTATGACTTCTGGTACTTCACATATGTATATTTCTACATTTTTCAATATCTTATTTCCTTCGTTTATGAATTCTTCAATTGTGCACGAATTAAAAATAATATCATTTAAATATATTTTTACTTTACTTATTGCATTCTCTACCGCTAGCTGATCAAGCTGTACCAACAATTGACCTAAATCAAAGTGATTAAATCCTGTGGTCATGCTCTTGCTGCATTTGATTTTGTTTTTGACCCGAATGCTCAGTCTTGGTGAGACTCGGTTTGCTCCAAAAGACAAAATTGGTAGTCTATGCGCCTCCATGTTGTTTAGTACCTTTCTTACTGTTTGCTTGTGGGTTTTATGTTGTGATATAATTTCCTCTTCTATCTCCCTGTGCTTCGCACTTTCGGCTTTCTTCTTTGATTGAGCTCTGGTTATAGCTAAAATATGTTTGTTGTCTATGTATAAGTCTTTCAACTGATTTGTTGATATTCTCGACAGACTGTCTGCGTAATTATTTTTCCCTGTTATATATTCTATCTCGAAATCGTATTCCTCTAAATCTAATCTGATTCTTGTGAGTTTTGAGGTAGGATCTCTCATTGAAAATAGGTGTGTTAGTGGTTTATGATCCGTTTTTATCAAAAATGTTGGTGCTCCGTATAAATAACATTTGAAATGGTTGATTCCCCAATGGATTGCAAGTAATTCTTTAATTATTATAGGTTTGTTAAGCTCTCCTTTGTTGAAGCTGCGCGATGCGTAAGCTATTGGTAAATCTGTTCCCTCGTAGTTCTGACTTAGAATTGCTGAGCAACTTGCATTAGATGCGTCTGTTGTTAGTATGAATTGTTTGTTGAAGTCTGGGTATTTTAAAATAGGTGGTTTTATCAAAGATGATTTGAGTTTCTTAAATGATTCTTCACAATCTTGCGACCAAAAAAATTCTACTCCTTTTCTCGACAATCTGTTTATAGGTATGCATATCTCTGCAAAATTCGGAATAAAACGTCTATAGTAATTACAAAATGCTATGAATCTTTTGGCTTCTTCCGCATTCTTCGGTGTCGGGTAGTTCTCTATTGTCGAATATTTCGCTTTATCCGGCGATACTCCTTCCTGCGACAGATCATGTCCCAAATATGTAACTTCTTTTCTAAAAAATTGACATTTTGCTGGGTTTAGCTTCAAATTAAATTTCCGACATATCTCAAATGTCTTTTTTAAGTTGTCTAAATGATGCTTTTCTGTTATTCCTATTACTACTATGTCGTCCATATACAGAAATGCTTTCTCCGGTGTTAAACCTGTAAATGCTATTGACATCATTCTCGAAAAGCTATTTGGGCTTATATTTAGTCCAAAAGGTAATCTGGTAAATTGAAATGCTCCTTTTTCCGTGCTAAAAGATGTGTATTTCCTTGATGACTGTTCTAGTGGTATCTGATGAAATCCTGACATTAAGTCTATTACTGAGAACCATTTTGCTCTACCTAGTTGGTCTAATATTGAGTCTATTCTTGGTAACGGAAATTTATCTGTGACTAGTTTCTTGTTTAGCTGTCTGAAATCTATACATAGTCTCCATGCTTTGTTTCCATCTATAGCTTTTTTCGGTACTAGTACGACTGGACTGTTGTATTCTGATGTCGATGGCTCGACAATTCCTTGGTCTATTAATTGTTGTACTTGTCTATTCAATTCTTCTGTCTGCGAATGTGGTGTCCTATAATTCTTTATGTAAACTGGTGTGTGTTCTTTTACTCTCAATTTTTGTTCATAAAAGTTGTTGCATGTTAGCATATCATGTCTTAATGCAAATATATCTGCAAAATCTTCGCATAACGATACTAATTTATCTCGAGTGTATTCCGGTATATCTAGCTTTAATGTTTCCCGTAGTTCTTTCTTCCTGTCCTTGCTGTCGTTGATTAATCTGTATACTTTAAACAATTTCATGTCTGATGTTTTGATTGTACCCGTCTCTATCGTAGCAGTTTCGTAAGTCGTATTTAAAATTTTGATATATGGGTTATTCCTTGATATTATCGCTCTCGCTATGAATATTCCTGGTAGTATCTCCTGTTGTTCCACTAGTCTATCTGCCTTTAACTTTTGAAAATATTGAACTGTTCTGTAAACTTCACATCTGGGTGGTATTATAATTGTGCTATCGTCTACAGTATCCAAAATATTTGTACTGATGTAATAGTTTCTATCATTTTTGATATGTATTTTCAAATTTGCGTAATCTAATATGCATTGAAAATTTGTGATAAAATCTCTTCCAATTATTCCGTCTGTTGGTATAGGAAAGTTGTTTTCTACCAATTGAAAGGTATGTCCAAAAAGATTGCCACGTACGTCTAGCGTAGTTTCGATTTCTCCCATTGTTTGTAGTTCTCCTCGAGTTACTCCTTTTATTCTTGCTTTTGAGTTCGGTTTTACATATTCTCTCATAGAGTCTTGTGTACATTTAAGTATTGAAATATCTGCTCCTGTGTCTATAATAAATGTATTTACTTGTCCTAAGATTCCTGTTTTTATTCTTACGAAGTTTGTAAGGTTTAAGTCGAAATTGTAGATAAAATATTCTGATTCTGTCATCTGTTCATCCGTCTCAGATGAGAGTTGTTTGTTCAAAACCTTAACTGTGGGTTTTCTGATTCCTGCGGACTATCTTCTAGTTCTAATAATCGTATATGTCTGTTGAATCCTCTTGAATTTCCCCTCTGTGCCTGGTTATCAAATTTTCTGGACCCTTTTTGCTCATGTTGACGGTGGTCTCTTTTTCCATTGTTTTGTTGCGAGAAATTTGGTCTTCTCCACTGGTTATATCCATTATGATATCCTCTTTTGTGCTGGAATTTCCCTCTTTTGTTATAGTATGTTTCATAATTTAACACTCTTCCATGTACATTGTCTTCTGTTGTGTCTATTGATAGGAATTTTGACATCACCTCTTGTGGGGTTGTGAAATTGCCTGCCTCTAATATTAGCTTGGCTTTGTCTGTGCTGGCGTTACGTTTCATCGTAGCTACTACAGCCTCTGTTGTATATTTCTTAGCTAAATCTCCTGGCATTCCCTCTGTTATGTATGCCACTTTTAATTGTTCGGCTAATGCCTCAACCTCGGCTGCGTACACAGCTGCATCTTTATGTCCTTGCTTCTTTTTGTCTAGTTTTGCTATCACCGTTTTCGGCGTATCACCTTTTAGTTCTCTCTTCAGTGTTGCCTGTATGTCTAAAATAGTGTCTTCTGTGGTTATTAAGTTTCTGGCTTTATTTGTTAACCTTGTTTTTATGAGGCTTATCGCTGTTTCCTCATGTCCTACTGCTATTTTCTGTAAAAGTTCGAGCGCGTCCACGAAGGATTGTAGTTTGCCTGTGGTTCCGTCAAATTCACTTGGTAAGATTTTGCTTGCAATGTTTAAAAATTCATTGATGCTAAGCGCCATGGTTTCTTCTTGTTCCGTGTCACTTTGATCTTCTTCTATATTCTTATCAATCTGTTGATTTATCAGATTAGGAACTAATATTCTGGAATTTATAGCTTGGAATGATCGTATGACTTTGTCTCGGTTTTTGTTGAAGTATCTCTTACAAGTTTCTCTCTGGATATCAGTTAGTGCATCCCAATTTTTGGTTATGAGGTGTACCAATCTATTATAAGCTTCAATTATTTGTGTCGTTATCTCAGTTTTTACCTCCTTGCTTTTAGGTATCTCCTTTTTTAACACTCTTTTGCTCTGCTTAGTAATATCCTGCGTAATGGCTTCAAGTATTTTGACAAAATCTTCCCAACTGCTAGGCATTTAAGAACGAAAACACAAATCCGATAGTCTTATGTAGTACGATAAAATTCGAGAATAATGTAGCAAAAAAAAATATAATATCGTCAAATACCCATTAAAATTCAATAAATTCAATAAATTTAAATAAATTCAATAAATTAATAAATTAAAAATTATCCATACTAAAATATAAGTGAAATTATCTTTAAAAAGTCATAAAAATAATAATTAATATTTAACAAAGTAACTGCTATGTTAATATACGTGTGAGGAAGTGCAAAAAAAAATAGATAATATGCAGACTCACCACTTAAACGTCTAAATTTGTTGTCGATCTCGCTGCCATGTCCCGGTGTATGCTCCGCTTCATATTTCTCCTATGCGCCTTCCATAACGACCATACCAATTTTAGTATCAGGACCGTGGTAATGATGTATAAGAGTACCTTTATTTCTTCGCCTGGTCTGACATCTTTACTTTTTACTATGAAGTTGCTGTTGACAACTCCATTCTCCTGTAGGTCTTCCTTGGATGACTTTCCTCCCATTCTATACTTCTGGAACGAAGACTCCTGGTTTCTACCAATTCAGGATCGCCATATGGTAAATATTATCTTGGGTAGTAAATAATATTGTTGTAACTAGTTGCCCATTTATTAATCACTGCTTTGTACAATATTTCACTATTATAAACTTAAATATATCAGTACTTAATTGACGCTGGCCATAGTGTCGGTATAATAATTAAGATCCCCGAGAATGATTGGTGTTGCTTTTAATAGCCTCGGCCTTGCTGACTCAGCGCTCTTGTTACTATTCGTGTCAAGTGTATTCCCTGACCTACACCACAAGTAAGTCGTGCAATTTCTGGTGCTGACTGGCTGTTTTAATTAGAGTATGTTATATATAAATGACCTCGATTTAAATTACCGAATGTTTACATAAACAAAATGTTACACGAGTATGAATTATAATATTATTTTATCTGTAATTCTGATATTTAAGGGTTGATATTACACAGACCATACTTCCGAAGATAAAGAGGAACTATTAAAAAGTGGTCAGTAAGACGGCGAAGAAGTTTAACGAGAACCGAAAAAGGTCCAAATGTATGAAAATATTGTAACAGTTAATAGGGAAGAAGCTTTAAAAAATTAAGTAATAAGATTTTTCCACTTACTACAATCTCCGTTATCATCTTCTCAATAGCAACTGTTTCCGCAAAATAACACTTCGTTAAATCTAGCAGATAATCGTTTAATTCTTGTTGTCTTTGTAGAGTTAATCTGAGATGGTTTTGATGAATAGCTGCTCCAACCCATCCAGTTACAACAATGCAAATTTTTAGATCATCTTTGTTAAAAGGATGTTGGATTATTGTTCGGTATAATTCAATTACTGCGTAGCAATTTCCATCAGGTGTAACTATCGGTACGCAAAGTACAGATTTAACTAGATCACCTACAACAATTTGGCGTTTCATTTGTATGTCAAATGTAGATGAGCCCTAATCTACAAAGAGTTACAAATGGACCATGATTTTAAAATTATATTTTTTCTGAACCATTAATTAGATTTCGATTATTTATTTTTCACATTGTAGGTGTATTTCCAATTAATGACTATATTAATGTTTTTTGAGAAATGTCAACGTTTTATCTATATACAGGGTGTAAAAATAAAGTTGTGATTTTTTATCAAATTTTTGCAACACTCTGTGGAATGTATTAGAAACAAACGTTATATGTTATTAATATTTTAATATCGCTTCATTCTTTCTCCGCATTTTTGTAAAAAAATCATCACGATATCTCTACTATCAAAAAAGAAAAGTAAGTTCAAAGCATTACGTGATTTTTACTCTCCAAAATTAACGCACCACCTCAACTTTACCACAATTTTTAAGTTAACTTTCTTGTGTATCCTTAATTGGATTTCGATATTTTTTTTCACATTGCAGTCCTATTTCTAAATAATTACTGTATTATAGTTTTCTGGGAATTGTCAACGTTTCGCCCATATATGGGGTGTAAAAATAAATTTGATTTTTCATCTTATTATGCAACACCCTGTGGAATTCATTAAAAGCATACGCTACATCTTATTATTATTTACAAAAAGAATCTTTTTTTTTCAACATTTTCGTAAAAAAATCATCGATATCTTTATTATCAAAAAAGAAAAGTACCTACGTTCAAAGCAGAACGTGATTTTATCGAATTGTAATGAAAAATCAAACAATTTGACAGAACAGTTTTAGACTGTCAATATTGTTTACATTTCATAAAATTGTTTTGTTATTTTGCGTATGTTAGTTAGCTGACATCGATCGTATTTCAAGAAATCTAAGCCGAGACGAATTCAGGCAATTACTTTAGCTGATGTAGATTTCTAGATTCAGTCTATTCATTTCCTGCTAGACTGTATATTCTCTAATTCGATATCTGATGTTTTTGTCATTTTCGCTATTACTAGTTGTTGTGTGTTCAGTTCTGCTTCATTTATTACTTTTACCTATTTTATCATAGTTTCTATCGATTGTAAATATGTTACATAATCTATGGTGTTTCTTGCTCCCCTTTACTCGGCTATGAAGTTATTTCTTAGTCTCATACTGTTTCATATTTTCAAATTATTGGCAATACAGAATTGGATCATTCTATCTCCGGTTTCTTTCCATTCCTCCGTGTTCTCCCATGCATAACAAATGTTTTTATCGTTTCATTTCCTATCCTAGTATTCCAGTCTGCTATTATTGGTACTCTTTAATTTTTTTTTTAATTATATTTAGCTTATTTTGTAATTGAGTATAGAACTCGTCTATTTTGTTATCATCTGATCCGGGTGTATACATATATGAATTATACGTATTGCCTATTTTATTTTTAAGATTAATGTAATTATTCTTCGTGATATTACTTCAAAGTTTAATCTTTTTTGTACGATCTTGTTTACTATTATTTTTACTCCCTCTTTCCCTCTCGTGTTCTCTTCTACGTCTGAGTAGTATAATGTATAGTTTTTATCTAGTAATTTTAATTTCTAAAGGAAAAAAATTCAATTTAAAAAATGCAATTATGATGTTCAAAAATACAAAAGATAAATTAATAAAAAGATAATCTCTTGATAATTCTAACAATACCTTGATATCCCACTCCAGCAGGAAACCTATCATCGCCCAATATGTCATCAACCATAAGATATTCTTTTTTATACGCTACATAAGCAGCAACTATGCTTCCTTTTTGTATTTTCCAGTTTACTTTATGCCGCTCTCCTTGAAAATTCCTTTGACTTTGATATATTTCTTCTGAAGCGGAATCCACCATATATAAAGTTACTCCTTAAATGATAATCAATAAATCAGAACAATAATATTATATATAGTTGAGATATCTAAAGGTAAAAACATATTGCAGTAACAAGGTTCGAAACTATCGATGCGATTAAGTTATTCAAAACGACGTGTACATAAGGCGGACGGCGGACTCAAACGACTCGTGTGCTTGCCAAGCACACAATTATTATTTGCCTACTTTGCAAGTATAGGAGCTTTGCGATTGCGATGGCAAGCAGGGCGCCCAAACGAAGTGTACAATTGACAAGTACACGAGGGTAAACAGACATGGCAAGTAGACGCAAATATTCTTAAAAACCTTGACAACTGAATCAGTGGTGTGACCACCGAACAACCCAAAGGTGCACTCGACTCGGCGGGAATTGTTCGCGCATCTGGTTTATGCATTGTCAACGGCCATGTTTTAGTTTTGTCACGTCGTTGGACGATCATTTTGTGTTTGTTGTTGTCATATCTCAGATCACATTATTTGTTTCGTTAATAATTTGATTTTGTGCAATCGTAAACACTATCACACTAAAACTTATCCTATCCAAAAAATGGCGCGAGGTCACCGAATTTGTCTGACAGCTACCAATGTAAATTTATCGGAGTGAACCTTCGGGTTGTTCGGTGGTGTGACAGTCAATATGCATAGAGGTCATCCGGAAAATCTCGTTTTTGCTTCCACAGCTTTCGTTGTGATAATCTGATTATTTAATTAAATTTAAAAAAGAAAAGGGGATGGAGGATAGTATCATTAAATTAAATTCGGAACAGGTAATTACCAGCATTTAAAATGAACTAAAACAGCATTGTAGATACAGAAACTGAAAAAAATGTATACAATTTTTTTTGTAGATTCAGCGCCGCCCATATAATGCAGGATCTCGAATCGAGAATCTTCAGGCCATGTGGCCATTAGCGAATCTTTTTGTTTCTTCAGTTCTGGTCACTGGACAAATATGTTATCTTGTATTCTTTTCCAGGCATCATTAATTGCATTACGATTTTAATGTTCTTTATGTTTGGTAATCCAAATGTCCGGCTCATTTTTATAAACATCAAAAAAACTGCAACACAAGGTCATTTTTATAGTTTATTCGTCTTCCGGGTTTTCCAGACAAGGTCATTTGTCCACTCCATTTCAATTAAAAAAGCACACACACACACAAATAAAACGTCTGTATGCTCCTGAGATATTTGAAAACTAAATGAATAGTCGCAGTAACTGACAATTATTTCTAGATTTCGTTTGAGTGCCTCTGCCAGTATAGACAACTATGTACTTCGCAAGTGTACGAATAATGGTGATCCCTTTAACTCGGGTCATTTTTACCGACAACATATGGAAAACCAACGAGTGGCAACGCATGACAAATAATTGTACGAGTAACCCACTCACACGACAAGGCAAGTATATGCAAGTGACGATTATTCGCCAAGTATCGTATCGTTTGAGTCCGGCTATAGTAATGCGACGAGCCGGCAAGGTTCAATCATCAAATTCATGCTATGCTATAAGAGCACCTTGTACAAAAAATTATTTAAAATTATTTATGACCTAATGTTTAATATTATATATTCAACAAGGATTCCAATCTGGAAATCAAAACGTCAAACAAGTCATGTCTTTAACAATTTGTGCTTACGGCGGTCGAATAAGTACTTAACCTCACCGCTCGATGTCGTCACTATCGCTATCTCAAAACTAATGTTAAAATTTCAGCCAAATCGGATTCTGGTCGAGTAGTTTTGTTTTGACTGCGTGTAGAAAATTATAGAAAAATGAAAGACGAGCAATATCGGTGATTCAATTCTTGGTTTTGGAAAGTAAATCGAGCATCGAAATCAAAGAGCGCTTGGATACTACGTACGTTGACTCTTCTCGTGTTTTAACGTGGTCGCACGTCGCGTTTGATGAACCACATCCAGGTGCCCCGAATAGTACCACGGTAGATAACTTGACAAAAATCCACGATCTCGTATTAATAATAGACCCCTTATGAGTAGTGTTTAATGCGCAATCCGTAGGGGTTTCAGCGTATTCGATATTAGCCTCCAAAATGATTTAAATGGTACCATCTTTTTTGGTCTGCCAATACTTCTTTGTCCATTTGGTGACTTATCTCGTGTTATTCGTACTATTCTATCCTCTGCCATTCTACTGATGTGTTCGTTCCACTCCTGTTTTCGTTTTGTTACCCATCCATTTATGTCTTCTATATTGCAAGTTTTTCTTATGTTTTCGCTTCTCTCTCTATCCAACAGACTTTTCCCGGATATTCGTCGGAGTATTTTGATCTCTGTTGTTTCTAGTAGTCGTCTCGTTTTAGATGTGTCAGGTCTTGTCTCTCCGGTAGATATTAATATAGGTCTAATTGCTGCTTTATAGATTCTTGTTTTTGTGTCTTGTCTTAGGTGTTTGTTCTTCCAGATTGTGTCATTAAGAGATCCCGCTGCTTTACTTGTTCTTAAGCTTTGTTGTCGTACTTTTTCCTTAACATCTACGTAACTAGTTATATCTATTCCCAGATATCTAAACCTTGCTTCCTGCTTTATTATTCCCATCAATTTCGATTTTACATCGTAGTGGGTATTTAGATGTTGTCATACGTTTGGGTTTTTCTGCTGATATTATCATATTTTACTTCTTTGCTGTTAAGTAGGTAGTAACCATAGCCTAGTAATATGTAAAATCAGAATCATCATGAACTAATTTATATTCTCATCATGAAATATAATTCACACCTAAGAGAGCGGTACCAACACAAACAAAAATCAGTGTTGAAGAACTAAATACGAAATCCACGGACAAATTATAAAAAAAGAATATCAAAGAAGATTGCTGGGAATGAAATATTAAGAAAACGAAAACATCGACAAAAGCTGGGAAAAACTCAAAAACAACATAAGTAACGCAGCAACAGAATTACTTGGAGAAACGAAAGTAACAAACATACCAAAAAAGCAAACCCCATGATTTAGAGAGGAAGTGAAGACAAAATGTGAAGAAAAGAAGAAAGCCTTTTTACAATACAGAACACAACAGACACACAACCACTATAAACGAATTAGAAATGAAACGAATACTTTAGTCAGACAAATAAAAAAGGAGCATTGGCAGAGCTTTCCAGAACACGACTTCTACGGATCACAGAAAAAATACGGATATGATCAGGGGACAAAGAAAACAGATGAACGAACTAATAAAACGAAACACATTCAGAAGGAAACATGTGCAGACTATTTTCGATCCTTATTTGCTAAAGGTGACAATAATGAACCAACAACACCAGAAAGACGGCAAACGAAGAAATAAATATTGAGAAGGAAGAGATAAAGAAAGCATTAAGAAAATTAAAAACAGAAAATCACTAGGAGAGGATATAATACTAGTTCTGACCAAACAACCACTAAAACTAATCAAAAAATTATAGACCAAAACAAAATTTCTCAAGAGTTGAGATCAAGCATCCTAATACCTCTTTTCAAAAAGGGTGTTAAAATTTTCGAGCAACCCCGTATACTACACTTTAAGCACAGTATAGTGCTATTCTTTTTAAAGCACTATACTGTGCTTTAAGTTAAGTACACACCAACGTTCATTTTACACCCCTCGAGAGGAGATGCCGGTAGTGGCGAGGAGAAGACAGTCAATATTCAGGGTCTCAACACATTCTATTCATATTCATATTTTATTCAATACAGTTTAGTTTAGTTTAGTTTAAGTGATTTGTTTTTTTGTATTATTACACTACGTGAAATTCTAATAAGTTATAACTTACATCCTACAATCTACACAAAGGGAGACAAATCGGAACCGAAAAATTACAGAGGAAATAATTTATTAAGTACAACATTAAAATTAACAACCAAAGTGATAACAAATAAACTGACTGAAACTATAAGACTAGGGGAACAAGGAACAACAAGGTTTTGGTTGTAAACACTTAAAAAATTTACAGTAAAACACAATTAGATAGAGCTAGAAGTAGAGATGTGCGACGTAGATGCAAGGTGGAGAACATCAAAGACCAAATAAAAAATAGAAGAGTAGAATGGAACGTTCATATAAGCCGAACTACAACAAATAGAGTAGTAAAGACGGCAAGAGACGGTTCCCCAATACGAAGATGATCAGTAGGAAGACCACGAAAACGATGGAACGAGAACTTACTGAAGGCACATTGAAAAACGTCATGTCCACATAAAAAGAAGAAGAAAATAAGAAGATTTATGTATCTCAAGGTTTCCATTACTCTATTTACCTGAAACCCACCCATACCAACTTATTAATACTATCCAGATAAATACGCCTCTGCGATGAGATGATTCAAGAATATCCACCGAAATTTTATCTTTAAAAACGGTTCAAAAACGGTTACCGCGAAAATCATGTCAATAGAAGCATCGATAGTCATCTATCCCATGTTCAATTGCAATCTCAAGAATTAGACACCCGTCATACGAAATCTTGCCTTCCTTATATCAAAGGTGTCACTGACAAAATCGATAACATTCTCGAATCTTCTTCGTTTTTCTTTTTTATTCTAGGCGAATCGCCAGTTTAAACTTCATCCATCTGCATTAACATGTAGATTGATTGATTGATTGTAGACGTAACGTCGCTACATTTTCTTCGGGGTCAGCCTATAGGTACTTCTCCGTTCCGTTGGCTATTTATCTTAAACGATTTTCACCATTCTGCTTTCTTTCATTCTGATAATATGGTCATTCCTTTTTTTTCCTGTTTATCCCCCAACCATTAATATCGTCTACCCCACATATACTTCTTATGTTTTCACTTCTTTCTTTGTCTAGGAGAATCTTTCCAGCTATGCCACGAAGTGCCTTCTTTTCTCTTATTTCAAGAAATCTCTTGATTTTTTTTGTTTCTGGTCTAGTTTCTGCGGTGTATGTCCTTATAGATCTTATAGCGGTTTGTATATTCTCAATTTAATCTCAATGCCAATGTTTTTATTACGCCATATTTTATTATTTAGACAGGTAACTATTTTTGTTGCTTTCGTTATCTGTTCTCTTACTTTATTGGCTCCTATAATAGTTCAATTAAGAAATATGGAAGCTTATGAAAATATTTAAGTATAATTATGTCACAGAAATAAAAAAATGTTACCTGCTGCTTTGGTGGTTGTTTTGAGCACATCTGCAGTTTCATGTAAGAGCAAAACTAAATCAACATTATCTGATAAAAAAGATGTCAAATCATGCAACAGAACACTTGGTTTATTTTGAATGTAAAAATTAAATTTCTCATACTCCGGCTCTTTTTCGTGGGCCTTGTCAGTCTTTCTTATAATCTTTACATATGGTGCTATTACTCGCCTGGTTGCTTTATCCGATGTATCGATATTCATATCGTTTTCTCTAGCAGAAGTAATAATTTTTGTTTTTCTTCTGGACTCTCTACTCGTATTCATGGTTCAATTCCAGGATTATTTTTATTCAATACATTCAAATAGTTTGACAAGAAATTGACAAGAAGGTATTTGAAATATTTGATACAAAAACAGTAACTAAGCAAGTACAGGTTGTATTTATTTGTCTAAAGACATACACACAATGCGTGGTTGTACAATTTATTTGAATTTTACACATGCAAGTTGTTCAATGTTGCAAGGACCAAAGTTTAACAAAAAATGTTGAGTTGAATGAAAATCGCAAGTTCGCCGTTTCGATTACCCTAACAAATACAAAGTCATAATCTGTCTAATACAGCTCATCTACACTTAATTGTTTGGCGTCAATGTTAAACTGTAAGTACCGTATATCTCTGTACACTTAATGATACACATTAACATAGATATATGTATAGAAGCTGCCAACGGTCAAAATTGGGTATGAGTCATTATTAAGAAGTTTACGATGTCGAGAGTGCATCACATCGAGTTAAGGCGGAGTCCCATGCATCCGATTTCCGACGACACGATGATCCGAAAGTATTCTCATTGGTCAAAATCGAATCAGAATATTTTCGCGCCGAATTTCATCCGAAATTTTTAACTACGCTTCCGACATCGGATAAAGATAATAGTATATTACCTACATAACGAGAGTTGTAAGAAGCTTATTACATGCGAGTAAAAAAGTTGCGCGCGAGCCGCGTAGCGGCGAGCTCAGTAATTTTACAAGCATGTAATAAGCTTACAACTCAAGTTGTGTACTATACTTTTTCTACCATTATTTTCGTTTATAAAAATAAAAATTAAATTACCACTATATTTACACTGACAGATTATACATTTTTAATCTGTCAAAATAACGTCTGTTAATTCGTTTCCATGGTAACTCGACCAACTGACTTAAGAGGCTTATGTGATATTACACATTTTTATAAAACTGAAGCGTAATTTTTTTTATTACGTGCTAGTCATTACGTGTCAGTATCTGTTATGATGCATTTACTTAGCATCCAAATAGTAGGTAATATACAATTTACTAGTAAGAGAGTAGAAATAGTATATTACATAACGAGAGTTGTAAGAAGCTTATTACATGCGAATAAAAAAGTTGCGCGCGAGCCGCGTAGCGGCGAGCGCAGTAATTTTACAAGTATGTAATAAGCTTACAACTCAAGTTGTGTACTATACTTTTTCTACGATTATTTTCGTTTATAAAAATAAAAATTAAATTACCACTATATTTACACTGACAGATTAATAATTTTTAATCTGTCAAAATAACGTCTGTTAATTCGTTTCCATGGTAACTCGACCAACTGACTTACAAGGCTTATGTGATATTACACATTTTTATAAAACTGAAGCGTAATTTTTTTTATTACGTGCTAGTCATTACGTGTCAGTATCTGTAATGATGCATTTACTTAGCATCCAAATAGTAGGTAATATACAATTTACTAGTAAGAGAGTAGAAAAAAATTATTTTAACTTTTTCCGACAAAACGGATGTTTTGTAACCTAAATTGTATTCTAATAGTTTAACATCTGTACATTTATTTTATTGAAACATGAATTTTAATCGAAGAAGCTATGATCGAAGAATTTTATTCGTAAAGTTAATAAAAAGCTGTTATTATGTCTGCTTCTTTTAATTTCCAAAAAAATATATATATAACGTACAATTCGACAAAGAAAATATTGGGTTAGTTAAATATTTAAGGAAAAAAAGTCACAAGGGGCTTTTAATAATCTATTGCACTCTTGCAGGAAATGAAGCTAAATCATGTTGACAAATATTTGCAATTACCTTAGAATGCGTAATTGCACATTTCATAAGCTACATAGTTTCTTTTACGTTATCCATTATAAACTGAGTAATTGAAAGCAGGAGAAGGGAGTATTTACCATGGTGAAATAATCCCTTCTGCTGTTTTATTACGCAGAAGTGGTAAAATAGCAATTACCAGCCAAACCACCAAACATCCAAACAATAAACAAAAAATTGACCGTTAAACAGTTTATACGGATTTTCGTATCCGTGTGACTAGCTTCCAAATAGCAACTACGAAACCATACGATTTTCATATGTCGGAAATCGGATACATGGGACTCCGCCTTTAAAATCTATGGAGAGGGCATCACGCGACTAAAAACGACCTAACTTCGGCCATATTGGTATTATTGTTTTGAAACTTTTGACAGATCGTATATATTTGGTTATATTTGTTGTTTTTCGAATATTTTCAGTTTTATAATAATTTTATAGAAACTGTATTAGTGCATAATAATGGTTTCTTTTTCTCAACGTAGTTGCAGTAGCAGAAGTAATGTTAATAAAAAAACTTCAGGAATATCGTTCCACAGGTTAGTATAGGCACAGAATAATAAACAAACAGAATTCCCACTCTCCACGGAAAATTAAGTACGCGCATCTCCTCCGCGCAGACGTTCCGCCATGTTTTAGGAGGATTTTAAAGAAATTAGTGTTGTTTATGTGGTGTGCATGGAAAAATTAACCAGGTTTATTTGACTTACGGCAATCATAGACATACTATACAATTATATTAACATTGTTAAATATAATAACATAAATATAATATAATTAAACATAAATATAAACAATTACATAACCACACAAATCATATGTCTGTGTCCTCCTAAAACATGGCGCGCGTGCTGAAAAACTTCAAAGGCGGCATCTGAGAGTGGCCCTTCTCTTTGTTTATTATTCTGTGGTATAGGTACAAATATGTAAACAAAGTAATGGCCCGTACTTCAGAGAATAAATTAATACTATTTGACTGTAATAATTTATCTTTATATATAATATATCGTGTTTTTAGTGTTTGCCGAGGGATAAATAAATCATAGTTTATTAAAAATGTATTGCACTTTTTTAGATTATGATTAAATCTTCTGAATAACTAGTCATATTTGTATAGTAGTTACTTTTAGTGTATAGTTTTATTATTATTGAGTCTGGCCCTGATGTCACCGCCATATTGGTATTATTGTTAGCCACTCCTACCTAACGTTAATATGCTCATAGCTTCTCCATAGATTCGATGGTGCATCATCACGATGGTGCATCATCACGTGTTGAACCGTATTTACAGTTCGTATTAGAGGCCAAATGTTTGATCAAACTTTAAGTAAACTGATGTAATGACATAATTACAGTTTGTTCAAATTTTAAAAATCTACCTGTCACAAGATCATTTAAATTTGATCAAATCGACGTATGTCAATGAAATACATTGTCTTTTTTGCTTATTTATTAAATGCTGTAGTTTATTTATTGATTTATTAGTCCAAATTCTAAAGACAAAAAGCATAGACCATAGGGACTTACGAATAATAACAAACCTCTACTGGAATCAAAGAGCCCAAATCGTAATAGATAACAAACCCAGTTCAGAAATTGAAACCAGGAGAGGAGTTAGGCAGGGATGTATTATGTCCCCATTACTATTTAATGTATATAGTGAAGCCATTTTTGAAGAAGCATTACTATCTTAAAGTGAAATAATAATTATTAACGGCATTAAGATATGCAGATGACACCGTGATTATGGCAAGCTCTGCTGAACAACTCCAATTACTGCTAAACAAAACAAACAGTTTCTGTGAAAAATATGGACTAAAAATGAATATAAAAAAGACCAAATACATGATAATAAAAAGGAAACAAATATACCAACAAACATACATTTGGGAAATGTGCCGATAGAAAGGGTTGATAAATACAAATACCTAGGAACCTGGATTTCAGACAATAATGATCAAACAACCGAAATAAGAGCTAGGATAGAAATAGCAAGAAATGCGTTTGTAAAAATGAAAACAATTCTCTGCAACAAAGATCTTAGATTAGAACTGAGAGTAAGAACACTGAGATGCTACGTGTTGTCGATACTGCAATATGGACCTGAAAGCTGGACATTGAAGCAAGAAGACATAAATAAGTTACACTCCTTTGAAATGTGGTGTTACAGGAGGATGCTTAGAATAGCATGGACATAGAAGAAAACTAACACAAAGGCATGGGGAAAGAATGCGAAATAATAAACACAATTAAAATAAAAAAGTCATGCTGTCCACTCCCTCTATTCCCATGAATTTTATCATTTCCGGGGTGATATGATCCTTGCCTGGTGCTCTGCCTAGTTTAACTCTTTCAATTGCCTTTTCTAGTTCCTCTATTGTTACGGGTTCTACTTTTTGTTCTTCATTTATATCTTGTATCTACACTATGTTGTCTACGTCTGTATGAGTTAGCTCTTTGAAATGTTCTCTCCATTATTTGGTTTTCTTCTGTTATTACCTTTCCATTCTTGTCTTTTATATTCGGCATCATGTGTTCTTTCTTTTGTCTGAGCTGTTTTAATGCGCCATAGAAGAGTTTTTGATTTTCCCTATAATTATTTGTCATTTTTAGTCCAAACTTTTCCCATGACCTTTCTTTTTCTGCTTTCACAGCTAGTTTAACCTCCTTTATTTTTTCTTCATATGCCTCATAATCTTCAGGGCGCTTTGTACTTAGATATCTCTTCCATTGGGAATGAATAATAATAACTAACCCATTAGCAGGTTGGTTGCCGATAAATCACTCGCATATATTACCAAAAACGATAAATGACAGCGGGCGATCATTTCTGGTATATCTACAAGTGTCGTGTGATTCGCCGGTCTGGTACTTATGTTTCAAGTAACAGCTGGCGGTACACGCGGCAGCCAACCTGTTTGATGATAAAATCTTATTACTGATTTCTTATTTTAGTATTTGTAACCACAGCCTGCTACATTCTGTTGATGGGATTGCTACAAATTTTTCTGCGTAAGATGAGAGCTACTTCTTTGATTTTCGTCTTTTGCTCTCTGTTTCTTTCATGACTATTCATGCATTTTTCTACTTAGAGTCTTAAGTCGTCATACTTAGTAGTCTTGAGGTTTCTCCCACATAAAAATTGTTGCATTCACAACGTATTTTATAGATGCAGTTCCCAGTGTTTTTGGTTTGTCTTTGGACAGAATAGATCTGTGTGTGTTGTACTAATATTGGATTTGCTTCCAAAACTTTTTACTTTTCTTGCTAAACCCTTTATATATGGTATCGATGTCATCTTCAATTTCCTCGTCTGAGCATCTCTGGATTGCTTTTGGCGTTATGATGTTTCCTTTCTTCATTTCATTTTGTGAAATTCTTTGTTTATTCGCTCCGTGCGTGACCATGATAGGGGAACCTTGAAACGATGCCAGCGTGCGTAGCGGCGAAAAATGACAAAATTGGAATTTTTAGGCATAAATTTTATCAAAAATGTGTGCAAATACATGTTGCGTATTAAATTGTGCTAATAATAGCAAAAATAGGGAGTGTAGTTATTATAGGTTACCAAAGATTACAGATAAATTAGAGAAAAGAAAAAGATGGATTCGTGCTATTAATATCAAAAAGTAAATATCACATAATTTCATTTTGATTGAATTGAATTGATTGAGTTGTGTGAAAGTGTTTGTTGAAATTGAAGAATTATTGTTTTTAATTATATGCTCTTTCACGTGAAAAACTTGGTTTGCCAGTACTAGATTTTCCCTTTCTTTTCCGTTTGGGGTTGAAAAGATATATTATGATGAATTTTGAGAAACCCAGTTTTTAATACTACATTTATTTTGTACATAAACTGAAAAAATATAATTAAAATAACTAATTATTAATAATTGTTAATTACGCATGTATTTAACAATGTCAAACATAATATGTCATATGTTTAATCTGAACATTGGGAGGTCCAAAACGGTCAGATGAAGACGGTGGGTGTGGCGTCAGTCACGCACGGAGCGAATAAACAACAATGGATAATCAGTTTTTGTTAAAACCTTTGATAACAAGTTTTTTCTTCCTGCATTTTCCTTGAAACAAGTATTTTGGGCTCTATCATTTAATGATTTGATACTTCCCCTTTTAATATTTATGTTGGCGTTTGAATAGTAATTTAAATACCTGTTGGTGTGGGTTGGTTTTCCCTCGACATTGGTTATATATCCTGTATCCTGCTTTGTGATTAACACATTCAGAAAAGGTATCATAGCGAACTGTTGTTTTCTTTTTCCTGATAAATTTGATTAATTCTTTTTTACAGTTGAGGTCCATCAAAAATGTATTCAGTGCTGCTGGTCAAATTCTTCCATGAAAATATCTGCTAATAATGAAGATAATTAAGAACCCATGGTTGTTCTGTAATTTTTGTTGTAACGTGCTGATATTTCTAAACGGAATAAAAATATATAATAAATAAAACTGCATAGAATATTAATAAATATTATTAATGTTATAAACAATATAAAACATTTCTTATGTATATTGATTGTAAAAAAATACTTTCATTGATTTATGTATATAATTTTAAATATCTTAAGTAAGCCTATCTTTATATAAATAAAATATCAAATAAAAATTGTATGTAAAAAGCCTAAGGAATGATTTTTTTAAAATCAAAAATATTAATTACAGTAAATTACGTAAATATAGAAATATATTTTTGGGTTTTTTATAGTATACCTTGAGTTTCCATCGAAACAAAATCCAAATCATAAAAAATGATTAACTATCAATCTTCTGAAAATTTTGGTTAATGATTTGGAACGAATACGCAATATTTGGAAAGATTTATATTTTTTTTTTTTCAGGAAATATTAGAACTCCATCAACACTGTACTGCACGTACTGTACTGTACACTGTTGTAGTGCTATAACTTGCTATAACAAGTAAGTTGTACACATTTAGCGCAACCTGGTGATAAAAATATGATTTTACTTTTCTCGTGAGACCACTCTACACTCATTCTACATAATCTCTGTGGGACATCCGTCAGCTCATGTACGTCTAACCCCAAGCTGGACGTGCTCACTTTGGAGACGACTGGTAGAGGACTAGTATCTTCGGCGATAACTTGTCCCACTTACGAGGTGGAAACTTATTTCTACCTGCGTTCGCTAGCGTACAACCCTCATCTGGAGACGGACTCGTAGGGGCATTGGTTCTGCCAGAAAAGATAGACTTCTTTCTGGACGTTGTCAACGCTCAGTATGCACCCTGCTCTACTCTAACTGGAGCTTGCTAAATAGTCAGCGGTCAGGGATGATCAGACTTTAAAATTATAATATTGTAATTTATTACTATTAATCGAAAATGTAAGGGTGAAGTGACAAATTGACAGACACAAACAAGATGATAAAGATTGATATATGACTAATGTATGTTTACGTAATCTGTGCTTCTGCTGTAACAAAATATTTTCAGATGTAATGCTATGTTGAAACGGTTTAAACGTACAATAAGTTTGATACACTAAAATGTTAACACTAAAGTGCCGTTCAACATAGTATTACACATCTCTACAAATTTTTTAAAAATAATTCGTAGATTGGTTAAATGTATACTTGTTGATATTGTATAATGTAAGTATTAAATAAAAATAAAGGAATATTACAAAGTTATCTACCTACAACCAAAATATATCTTTTAACATTTTACGCAGAATTTTCCCTATTATTATATATCTAAATTTGATTAACGTTAATCAAAATTCAATAGAAGCTAATAATTGTCGTATATAAGTCGTTTGCTGTTCATCTCTACTTGTTTGAATTCTTCTGTAATAAACAGGACAATCTAATGATATGCACTTGACTTCCATTGGGGATGATGTACAACTTTGGCAAACCTAAAAAGAAGGTTAATTATTAATAAAACAAAACATAAAACCCAACAATATTTATTAAATTGTCGTCATAGGAAGAGTGGACCTCTTAAATTATCCACTCCGCTGTACGCTCTGCTTAGGGGCTTCGTGTATAGTGTACCCCTAAGCACTTATCCAATTTAGCTTCTGGATGTTATGGATTCTACCAAGTCTTGATAAAGACTTGGTATGAAATTCCTTATATGAACAATAGAGTGGACCATCGTTGAAATAAAATAACTTTGGATGTGTAAAGACTAGCTACAGAGTCTAAAATTGCGCTAGTATGGAGCAGAGCCCCGACCAGCGACTCCCTAGAGCGTACTCTAGGTAAAGCCATTGTCTATCGACTCATCCTGACTTGAAAGTTGTGCAAATATTTATACACAATTTACAAGTCGAGGTGAGCGGGGCGATGCGCATCAAGTGCGTGCTATTGGTCGATAGACTAGGGCACTTGATGACAAAGTTCCCCAGAATATCGTTCACTTGACATGTTTAGCTGTACAATAGTTTCCCAAGATGAGAAATTATAAATAAACTGCTCTTATATCTCCGTTAGTGTCTCTGCACATCTTCAGGGGTGGCTTAAATTCTTTTTTGAGTTATTTTAGATCTTACATAACTTTATAGTTTCAGTCTGTTTCTTTAATACTTAAGTTTTTTAATATTCTGTGTTTGGGAAAGTATGTACGAATTCTTTTCATATTTTTTCATTTAATATTTTTGTTACTATACTGTTCTGTGATCTAATTCAATGCTGTGTTCTAACGACTTTGTTAAAATATATTGCTTCCTGTTAAACTGGCTATCTCATTTATTACGTTTTAAGTACGGAGAATTAGAAAAGAATTCAAACCAAGAATCAACTATTGTAATGATAAGGAAGGCAACTTACTTACCAACAAAGAGGACATCCTTTTACGATGGGTAGAGCACTTTCGAGATTTGCTGGAAGGGGAACCTACTAACAATATAGAGCTGGAATACCGAAATGAGGAACTCGTGGAACCCCCCTCGGTAGATGAAGTAAAAATATCTATAGAAAAACTAAGGAACCAAAGGTCCCCAGGTAGCGATGGCATCCCAGCAGAGTTATTTAAGCACGGTGGAGAGCAGCTCACTAAGGTGATGCGAGAAATTGTTTGTAGAATTTGGTCTGAGGAGCAAATGCCAGAAGAATGGAGCTTAGGCTTAATTTGCCCGTTACACAAAAAGGGAAACCAACTGGAATGCAATAATTACCGCGGAATAACTCTCCTAAATACAGCATACAAAATATTATCAAATATTTTGCACGAGAGATTAAAGCCTTATACTGAAATGTTTCTAGGGGAATATCAGGCAGGATTCAGGCCTGCACGTTCAACCATTAACCAGATCTTTATACTACGACAGATCCTCGAAAAAGCGCAAGAGTTTAACATAGATATGTATCATATTTTTGTCGATTTTAAAGCGGCATATGACAGTGTCTTAAGACCAAGTCTTTACAACGCTATGAATGAGTTAGGAATTCCAAAAAAACTCATACGTTTGATAAAAGTGACAATGGCGAAGATGCTATCAGCAGTAAAAATTCAAAACGACTCGTCAACCCCATTTCAAATACATAGGGGGTTAAGGCAGGGAGATGCGCTGGCGTGTCAGCTTTTTAATGTCGCCTTAGAAAAAGTTGTACGAGACGCTAATTTAGATAGCAGGAGAACAATATTTAATAGATCAGTCCAAATTCTAGCATATGCAGACGACGTGGACATTATAACAAGAACTAGGGCGAGAACTGCGGAAATCCTAACCGAGCTAGTAGCAGCAGCAGAACGAATGGGGTTACATATAAATCAAAATAAAACCAAATTCATGGCGACTAACACAAACACAAGAGCTGGAAATGTTGACACAAATTTAATCATCAATGAACAAAACTTCGAAGCAGTCAATGAGTTCGTATATCTAGGGACATCGGTTAACCCCAATAATAATACATCTGAGGAAATAAAAAGGCGAATAATAATTGCAAACAGGTGTTATTATGGTCTATCAAAGTACTTAGCTAACAAACGCCTGTCTCAAAAAACTCGTATAAGGCTGTATAGAACACTGATAGTCCCCGTTCTCACATACGGATCAGAGGCATGGACGCTAACGACAACAGATGAATCCGCTCTATCCATTTTTGAAAGAAAGGTGCTACGCAAGATATTTGGAGCGGTCTGTGAGAACGGAATATGGAGGCGTAGATATAACTTCGAACTGCAGAATATCTACAAGCATACGTTTGGTGGTAAATATATTACCACTATAATTAAGCGAAACCGCCTGCAGTGGGCAGGACATGTAGCCCGAGCCCCTGAATCGAACATGATAAAAAAGATTCTAACAGCGCAACCTGTGGGAATGAGACGACGGGGTAGACAAAGCTGAGGTGGATGGATGGGGTAACACAAGATGCGGAGAAGATCGGATTCGGCAACTGGAAAATTCAAGCAAGGGACAGAACAGAATGGCGTAGAAAGCTTGAGAAGGTCGAGGCCCTCTAAGGGCTGTAGCACCAAGATGATGATGATTAAGTACGGAGAATTTAGATTTCTCCTTTGCATTTTGTGTCACCAATATAGAAACAAGTGTATGGTTTCGTATTACCGTGACAATTAACTTAAATTATCGCCATTCAAAATCGCAATACAATAGAGTGATTTATTGGTGTACCTCTTGGTACGGACCACCACGTAACAGGAAGAGGGTTCTTTTCTGACCTGGAATCTCAAGACTCACTCCACTCCAACACAAGGCAGCGAAAGACACGGACCTAGTTTGATCGGTTCTCGTGCTATAGCCTCGACGTTCCGGGCGTCGTGATGCACCGCGACCAACTCTTCAGCCTGTTACGAATACATCAATAGAACCAAAGGGTAAGTCTACATTCCTTGTACAGACAACAAGAATGAGTAAGACCAGTTAATTTCGCTAATTTATTTAAAAACAAAATATTGCATTTTTCTTTATTATTATTTATCTAATATCATGTAATCAGCGACCTCTTTTATAGTTTTATACAAAACATTCTGGTTTTGCAAATTTTTCCCCTTCTATGAACGTTTTTCCTCTCTTCTTAATTCCCTGTAATCATGTTCCGTATCTAGAGTTGTTTGCTGTATAAGTTTATATCGATATATGGTTTGTGATGTATATATATTTATATTGGGTTCGTGCATAAGTTAGTTTTCGAAGGTATGCAAGTTGACACAGTGTACGAACGTTCCAAATGTTTATTCCCAACTTTCGTTGCGTTTGTCTTCATTGAAAGTTCTGCCCAGCTTCTCTGACTGTAGATTTCATAACATTGAAGGGAACAATGATAATGGAATTTACGGAACATAATTGATAACTAAAAGCCTACCCCTTCTTTATATGGACTTAGGACCAGGATTAGCAGTTACTGAGCTATACGATTCAACCAGCACTTACTAGAGGTGAGTTATTCCTCCGGTCGTGAAAACCTACACTCCATGATAAAATAGTTTCCATTGTGATAAAATACACCATCAGTATACAGAGTTTCACTCTAGCCTCCAACATTATTTGCTCTTTCACACACAGGTACCTATAGTTTCGGTTGCGTTTGTAGCTATCCCTATCTTACTATAATTTGTTCGTTACTTTTTATACTTACCATTAGAATATTTTGGGAGTTCTTTTCCCAATTTCTCATTTTTTCCATAAGAGTGACCATTGTAGTTTGCGGTCGAGCCTGACACTGTTCACATATACCAGTTTGTGTCTGTTCTTCACATGAAACGCAGTTAGATGTAGAAAAATACTGTGATATAGTACTTTTTTTCTTTGGTGTAGTAGAACCAGGTAAATACTGAGTCTTTTTTCGCGGCATTTGATTAAACCTTAAACAAATAAAGAGGTGTAAATATTTAATAATTTTACTTAAGTTCTATATACATTATGTATAGTGTTTCCAACCTTTTCTTAACCTCGTTTGACGTACATTCTAAAAAAATATAGTCATAAAGTTTTTATTTCGATATGATTCGAAGATTCCCGTTGGAATACTCAATACGTTGCACATGATTGCAATCTAAAAATCTCTGTTTGATTCGAAGTTATCAGCAGTGTATTTTGTTTGATTGTTTTCTTAATAAAAGTTTAGGTATAAGTGGTTTATAAAATTTGTTGGTATATGGGAATTAATTCTGCAAAATACAAAATCTAGAAATATTGATTTTTGCCAATTTTTATATACATAATAAAAAAAATGTACCTATTATTAATACCCAAAAATATCGTCTAATAGGTAAAGCTGGCAATTACTGATGCAGTGTTGGATAACAATTTTCGACTTCTTTATACTGCTTTAAGCAATTATTGGGTTTCCAACAAACACGTCGTTAAAGGGATCTCTAATGTAGATGAGTGGAGTTTTATGCTCTTATTTAAGTTGCAATTTGTTTGAGATATTGTGAAATTTTAATATTTTTGTTAATTTAGTGTTACATAATGCTTTTAATACTTACCAAATATTAAGGTCTACACCAAGTAAATTAAAACACCTATTGATAGCTGGTATTATAACCCTTGTAATATAATATTGTGCATTGGGTTTTAAAGAAATATCGTTGATTAGATCTCTAGAGCTTCGTACTAAACGTATTAAAGGTAGTCCTGGAGGTCCGTTGATTATTACGTAAGGTACACGCTCTCCGCTTCTGGGTTCGTTTCTCCTATCTACAGCAGTCCATTTTCTAAGAAATACAAAATTTGGTGAGTAATCAGATAATAGTTAAATATTAAAGTACTTAAAAAACTTAAAAAAGATTGGCTAAGTTTAGACCTTAGATTTCAGTTAGTTTATAAGGCGGCTGACAGATAAAAACAAAAAATACAATTTAGAAATGTTAACACCAGATGTGGCAATAATTAATATTTATCTAAAACCCAAATATTGAAAAGCGTGTCTCGCAAACCTATCTTTTAACTTAACTTTGTTGGAGTATGCAAATAATAGTAGTGTAACATTTTTTTAGTTAACTTCGTCTTCTACCCTATTAAATTGCCTTATTGAAGGCGTAACAAATTACTGTAGTTAAAATTTATCCACTTGAATAGAAAAATTCAACCCTTTGCGCGATCAACATTTAAGATTCGTCACGCCATATATCTTCCATAGAGTTGGTCCTAATAAAAGTTTTAGAATAGTTTTTCTAAGTAATATAATTCAAAGTATAGCGTTTTCTTTCTCAATAAATTTCCGAGTAGAAAGTTTCTTTTTGTATGTGTCTTTCGCAGAAATGAGAGAGAAAGGAAGATTTTATTTTGGGGACAGTTTGTTAAATTTTTCCCGTAGAGGGAATGAAAACACTTCGGTGTGAGTAGTCAAAGAGTTAAATCCTCCGTAAATTTTTTGAAGTATTGTCAGCAATTCTATCTTAGAAAGTACTTTAATCTAGGCTATATTAGATTAAATCTATCTATATCTATTCTTCTTCTTCTTTAAGTGCCGTCTCCCAATCCGAGATTGGATATCATTAGCACTATCTTTACTTTATCTACTTCTGCTCTGAAGAGTTCTATAGAACTCCATTTAAACCAGTCCCTTAAATTCTTCAACCATGACACTCCTTCTTCCTATACTCCTTCCTCCTCTTATCTTTCCTTGTATTATCAGCCTTCATATCGCTTTTCCCTCATTACGTGTCCCAGATATTGTAACTTTCTTATTTTTCTCGCAATACTTCCGTGTTAGTTTTCTTCTATGTCCGTGCTATTCTAAGCATCCTCTTGTAACACCACATTTCAAAGGACTGTAACTTATTTATGTGTTCTTGCTTCAATGTCCAGCTTTCAAGTCCATATTGCAGTATCGACAACACGTAGCATCTCAGTTTTCTTACTCTCAGTTCTAATCTAAGATCTTTGTTGCAGAGAATTGTTTTCATTGTTACAAACGCATTTCTTGCTATTTCTATCCTAGCTCTTATTTCGGTTGTTTGATCATTATTGTCTGAAATCCAGGTTCCTAGGTATTTGTCAACCTTATCCCTTTCTATCGGTATCAACCCTTTCTATCGGTACATTTCCCAAATGCATGTTTGTTGGTATATTTGTTTTCTTTGTTATTATCATGTATTTGGTCTTTTTTATATTCATTTTTAGTCCATTTTTTACAGAAACTGTTTTGTTTAGCAGTAATTGGAGTTGTTCAGCAGAGCTTGTCATAATCACGGTGTCATCTTCATATCTTATGTTGTTAATAGATATTCCCTTAATTATTATTCCTTCACTTTGAGATAGTAATGCTTCTTCAAAAATGGCTTCACTATATACATTAAATAGTAATGGGGACATAATACATCCTGGGTGGGGACTGGGTTATTTATCTATTACGATTTGTGCTCTTTGATTACAGTATAGGTTCGTTATTATTCGTAAGTCCCTATGGTCTATGTTTTTTGTCTTTTTTTTGTCTTACTCTGTCAAATGCTTTTTCAAAATGAACGTAACAAACATGCACATCAACATTCATATCCATTGAGCTAACACATTAAAAGCAAATAACGCTTCTCTGGTTCCTAGTCCGTTTCTGAAACCAAACTGACTATCATCTATTCCTTCTTCCAGTTTTTTATTTATACGACCATTTATTATTTTTAGGAATAATGTGAGAATGTGTATTCTCATTGTAATGATATTGTTCTGTATTCACTGCATCTATATCTATTACTACCTTTAATTGTTGGTACATTTTTGTATTTTTCGATGCATTCAATCCTATACGTCCAAGCTAATAGTTTACCGTTTAATTTTTTTTGTTTTGATACAACCATTTGTTGAATTGCTGTTCAATATTGTTTTTGTTTAACTAACGCATTTTATTTTTCTACTATCAACACGTTCCCTGATTAAACATTAGATTAAACATTTGCTTTGCTATATTTCGACCAGAAGGAAAGATCAGGCTATATCAGTCTTATAGATAAGTGAGTGGACTATTTCCACCTAATATATTTTGCATTAATTTATATAGTGTATAGACAACGTTTAACCAATAATTAAACTTCCATATATTTTACATATTTAGGCTTCAGAATATAGTTTGTTTCTGATATTTCTTCGACACCTAAGGTATCTTAGCTTTCCCCTTTTATTTACAAAAAGTTAAGTGGAGCCCTTTTTCTATCTTTATCTACTTTTTCTATCTTTATCTACTTTTCTATGATAACTTTCTATACATTTCTCTATATCTATTTCTCTATCGATCCATTTAGATATCCTATCTTATCTTATCTTAGATAATTTCTTCTGTTATACAACATACCGATTCCAAAAGCTAGTTTTGAACCCACGACTCGCTCTCCACCAACCATCTGGCTGCCGTTCGCAGTATATGCACTGACGACCTTTCTAGCAACATCCAAAAAATATTATGCATGGTATAGTATTTAATATTGCTTTTTTTCAGCTGTATCAGCTGTATTCAGCATAAAAGCTGTATCATTGTTGAAAAATGGACGTGCTCCGGGCCCAGAGGGGATATATGCAGAGTTAATAAAAAATGGAACCAACAAACTATTCAAGATACTAACAGAAGTTTTCAATAGGCACTTGCACAGAGAACCAGTGCCACAAAGTTGGAAAGAAGGATGGATTACATATATCCATAAAAATGGAAATAAGGAAGATTGCAATAACTATCGGGGTATAACTGTTACGAGCACGCTTAGCAGATTATATGGGAGAATTATAAAAGAACGCATATGGGAAGAATACCGTCCTTTTAAATCAGAAGAACAAAACGGATTCAGAGCAGGACGATCCACAATAGACATTCGAGAAAAGAACACTGAGATCTCGAGAAGAATTTACTTTTAGTAGATTTAACAAAAGCATATGACACCGTGCCTGTTGCGAAATTGTGGGAAGTAACAAAAGGACTGAAGCAAGGTTGTTGTTTATCTCCCATACTATTTAATATATATATATATATATATATATATATTATATATATATATATTATATATATATATATATATATATATATCTCGACGAAGCACTCAGAAAGAAGTGTAAAGGGATAGGGCTGTCTATTGGGGATGAAACGTTATACACGTTGCCACATGCAGATGACCAGGTAGTTATTGCCCAAGACAAGGAAGACATGGAGTATATGGCTAGAAAACTAATGGAAGAGTACAAAAAATGGGGCCTCGAAGTAAATTTACACAAAACGGAATATCTTTGCATAGGAGGAGAAAATACTGCAGATGACATCAACTTAGAAGACGGTAAAATTAAGAAATGCGATCAATATATATAATTTAGGGTAAAACTAACAAAGAAAGGAAGAACTGATGAAGCCATAAAAGACAGAATAACCAAAGGGAAACTAGCTATAGGTGCATTGAATTCAGTACTATGGCAGAAAAAATAAGACCGGAAACGAAAAAAAGAATATAAGACACCATATTGAAACCAGTAATCGTCTATGGCTCAAATGTATGGCAGTTATCACAAAAACTTGTAACCTTTTGGCAGTTGAAATGGAGTTTTGGAGGAGAGCAGCGGGAAAGTCTCGATTAGAACATGTGAGAAATAAGGACATAAGGAATCAAATGAATGTACAAAGATCAATTATAGAAGACATCGAAAAATAACAACCGACATGGTACGGACATGTTAGACGTATGGGGGAAGAAAGACTACCAAAAAAAATATTGGAATGAGTACCACCAGAGAAAAGAAAACGAGGACGACCGCCAACAACATGGATGCAAGGAATTTCAAAAGCAATGTCAGCAAGAAATCTATCTGAAGAAGACTGGCAGAATAGACAGGTTTGGCGAACGGGAACCCAAAGGCGGATTACGCTATGAACGTATTCAATATTTAAAACCAAAGAAAAAGTTAATTCTTGCTGACTATTATTCGCATTCATTTTCAAGATTTATACATAAATCATTCTAAAAAAAAGAAGAGCAACGTTTCATTATTTGACACGATTCACGCTGTAATATTTTCGCCTAACCCCTCCATGTTCAAGAACGGGCGAATACACTGCAGAAATATCGAAATAAAATATATCTTAAAATTATTTCTTATCGATAGTTATTTACCGAGTTAGTTCTAAAGCAGGAACGCAAGCTCCAGATCGATATCCGGCAGCTCCTCTATATTCTTTGGCAAACGTTAAATCCTGTATACTCACTCTACCAGCGATTATTTTGTTAAATTGTTTTAAAACGTAGTTTTTCACCAAGCTGACGTCTTTGGTTTCAAAAAGAATTCGTAAGCATTTTTCTAACATCTACAACAAAAATATGAATTAAGATCATTCTCAGCAACGTTCATTAAGAGCATTTAGAAATTAATAATAATATATGACAAAGCTCGAATAATGGTACAGAATTTTTGAACATTTTAATGAATGTCCATAATATAAGAGATAGAAAAAGGTGAAATGCATAAAGAATATACCTTACTAACAGCAGGACAACCATCTCGTCTAACCGTTTCAATACCTTTTGCTTGATACTCAGGTTCTTTCTGATCAGGACTTTCATACATATAACCAACATAGCGTTTCTTTGTCTGCAATATACAAGGCTGGTATACTTTTTCCAGCTTTAATTTTATTGGATCTGGATTATCGTTAGTGACAGCATCTGCGATCTTTTTTCCAATTTCGAAAGCATGCTCCTTCGTCCTTCCGGGTACCATAACAAATAAAGAATCAGTATCTCCATAAACAACTCGTGCGCCCCATTCTGTGGTGCTTTCTACCATTTCTATCGCTCGTTGTAGTGTCTCTCTACCTGTTAAAATACAGATAAATAAATTAATTAATGGAAATGAATTTAAACCACACAAACTTTCAAATTGGTTTATACAATCATTTGAGAAAGAAATCATTAATAATAAATTAAAACATTATACACTTATTTGTTTTTGGGTAGCAATGATTTTAAGGAACATAATATATCTATTATTGATTCAACAAAAATTATAAAAAGAGGGATCAGTACAAAATACACCCCAAGCAAGGACATTGGTTAAGAGAAACTATATTTTTGAGCAGTATACTAGAATGAGCTTGTTTCATATAACAAGTGGTTTACCTTTACTGACTACGCTGTCTCCAAGTTCTACAGCAGGCATTCTTCCGCTAAAGTTGGCAGCAGTGTACCCGTAAGTAACGTTAGCAATCAGCTTTAACCCTAGCTGACGATTATGCAGAACCTTCTGTAAAATTTTATCTTCTTTGTTCTCTTTCATCGCATTCTTTACCATTAACCTGGTATCTAATATTTCACGCAACATTCTTGGCATAACACCGTCTCTTACTTCTTTTTTAACAAATGCTGCTCCACAGGGTGAAAAATTTATTTGGTTCCTAAAAAATATATAATTTAAACTATACTGAGACAATGTTATTTATGTTAAACAAGTATTTCAATGTAATTTATATGGTTCGTAAGAATTTAAGAATAATTGGTAAACAAGGTAAAATATGTTTTTGGGAATTCTTTACGAGGAAAATTAGAAACTAAGGAAGCATTAATGATGTGAGGTGTCAAGGATAAAAATAAATTACTATTTAACTGGAAATAAGGCACAATTAAAGATAAAAATACGTTTATTGACGTTTCAATTTCCACTTCGGAAATCGTTCTCAAAATGAGCTTCAGAACAATATTAAGGATAAAAAGATTAAAAATGTAAAATTTAAGGGCAGATACAAAAACAATTAAGGACTAAGCAATACATACACAAAATATGGAACAGAAATTAAACTATTAACATATCTTAGATGGATTTCATCTTGTATATTTTAATATACTATATGAAAAATAGTATAAGTTTTTCGTTTTTTGTTCTATTTTTTTGGTAGTACCATTTTTTACTGGTTGTATGAAAGTATACAAGATGTAACCTTTTTAACCTTAACCTTGTGACACCTCACATCACTAAGGCTTCCATAATTTATAATTTTCCTCCTAAAAAAACTTCCAAAAAACTTATTTTACCTAGTTGAATGCACGACACACTACGCACAACAACTTATGCTGAATGAGTGATCATAAGCTTTTTAATCGATCAAAAGCAATCAATTCTAATACTTGGCATAACTTTTAATATATTTTCATATTATGCTAAGAAGTTTTGTACTTACGTCCTGAGAATATGGTGGATAATTTAGATCACGAAACTAAGAAGTAGATAAATTGAAATAGAAAGAAGTAAAATTTGTACAAGAAGTAAATACAGAGATGCAGTTCAAAGAACAACAAATGGTGGAGGAACAGTGGAAAAAAATTAAACAAGGAATAAACAATGCACCAGAGAAAGTGGTTGTCAAAATGCAAAATAAAAGAAGAAATAATTGGTTTGACGATGAGTGCAAATTAGCAATGGAAGAAAAGAATAAAACAAGATTGAAATGGTTAAGCACACGCAAAGAAGGGGAACGAGAAAAATACAAAGGCAAAAGACAAAGAAATTATTTAAATCGAAAAAAAAAAAAAATAAAAAGTAGAAGATATTAAGAATGAGATAGAAACAGAAAATCGAAGATACAACTCAAAACCATTGTAGCAATACTTAAAACTAGGTAACCGAAAACTGACAGCTTAATATAGCTATAGAAGCAGAAAAATGGAAAAAATTATTTCGAAGAAATATATTAGTCATAAGAATGACATCAACTGTATGACTTTCTAGAAAATTAAGTAAATTACCCTTTTGTTTTCTAATAGATTGACAGTTCCACTGAAGAATATTGATTGTTCTATGATTCCCCATCACTATCGTTGCCCGACGAACAAGAAAGTATATTTCTAATTTCATTTTGAGTGACTTTTTGGAATTCAACCGAGACTAGTTTGGGGTCAATTTGTTTAATTATTCTTTCTAAAGCAAATGGAATTTCTTGTAGAATTTGTAATTGTATTTTTTCTTTATATGCCATAAACTCATTCCGATATGGGTTAGGAACTATAGGGTGTGACACTGATATTTTGTTTTAGAAGTTGAAAGAAATTTTAAGGCAGTTTTACATTGAGTGGGGGATATGGCTTTTTGTTTAAAAGGATAAGAACTTTGTTTAGGTTTAGGAACGTATGAATTGTTTACTGTACTGTCATTTGCCGCAGGCGGGAGTTGGGGAAAATTATTTAAGCAATTCAAATTTATTATAATGTGTCGTGGTTTTGGCAGAGAATGGGTGAAATGTGGTATTCTCAATTGCCATTATTTTTTTTATATTATGTTGATGTTAATAAGCTGGGCATTGTTTCGTTAAAGTCGGATGATCATTCGTTTTACAGTGAAGACAATATTGTGGGTTACTACAGCAGGAGTTGTCTTCGTGTTCTTTGACACAATTTTTGCATAAGCTGGGAGTAGACTTACACTGTTTGAGTCTATGACCGAATTTAAAACAATTTAAACACTGTACTACAGGGTATTCGCTGTGAGTTTCGAAGGTAGCGCTCTCTCGCGGTTTGAAACTTGTACTTTTCTTGTAAAATCAGTGTAAGTGAAATATAACAAAACGAGAAAAATAGATATTTATCTAGAAATACAAAATAATGAACTGAAATATTATGGTAAACTGATTAATGAACGAATACACAGAATTAATAGTAAAAGTAATTACGCCTTATTTTATTCGTTATAATTATAATATTTAAGATATAAGTTTCTGCCACTGGATGACTACTTACGCAAGAGGCCATTGAGAAAAAAAAGAAGTTTATGTGAAAATATTTAATGGTTAAAAGCAAATATTTAAGGTTATAGACGCTTAAGGGTCTATATTCTTTGGTTAAAAGTTACCTTTACCTCTGTAACGTTGTAATTCTTGTTTTTATTTTGCATTTTTATTCTGTTTTTGCTCAGTTATTTTTTGTGTGCGTAGGCCTTAGTGCTTAAATATCAATTTGTTTTAATTTTATCAAAATGGATATTAAACATTATACTGGTTTTAAGTCTATATCACATTATATCCCATTTCAACCAGCTACACCAAAAAAGGGGAAAGATTTAGTTGATGCAGGGCATGTACGAAATGTTTCGGAATATAATAGCTTTTTTATTTTACACCATACAAATATCATGTTGTTTGTATTATAGGTTATACAATGACTGTGATACCCAGTATTTTTATATATATCATATCTTTTTTTTTTTTGAAAAATCCATATTTGCCATTATTTGAATGTTTACAAGTTAAATACACAAAACTGCCACTAACAGCGTTGGTGAAAACTGTTAAATCCCCTCTACTCATCGGCTCACAGCGAATATGTATTGTTTAACTTGAAACCGTAGCAAATCTAACGTAATATATTGAAGAGTGATATTTCCTTCAAATGTTAAAATTACAATTTGTCTAGGAACAAAAATAGTTTCATTATCTAAATTGATAAGTTTTCTTTTCATACGTCTTACCTCGGTTATTTTTTGGTCGGAAATAATATTATTCATCATATAGTTTTCGTCCAACAAAGTATCAACCTGTCTAATTATTCCTCTTTTGTGATCAGAGAAATTCGGAATATAGGCAATAAATTTATTAGAAATAATTATATCATGATTAACTAGACTATTTGCACAAGTGTAAGAATTAAAAATTACTTTCGATTTATTTTTACCAACGAGTTTAATATCATCCACATCTTTCTTAAAAAAGCTATTAATAAATAAATAATAACCTACTCGGACTGGTGATATCGGGTAAAAATGATAATTCTGGAATCTCGATATTTTTAGTAATTTACATATATTTTATTTTTATTTTCTTACCTTTCTAGTAGTTTTTTTAAACGACTTCGAGAAACTTTTAACTGTGTAGCACCAAACGTAAAAGGTCCACTTTTCCCAAGACTCTCCACTCGCCCTAGACATGTAGTAAAACAGTAATTATAAGCAATAATTATTGATGGATAAAGGCTTTGGAAATCCAAAACTATTACTGGATCAGTATAAAGTTTTGATTCGGGTTCCATAACCAACGCTATATACTCTGGAGCTTTCATATGTGCCCTTTGTTGCACACTGGGAGATACTGCTATAAAATTTAAGGGTTTTGCCAGTCTTAGCATCATAGACTCAACTCGAAATTGGCTACCTCTGGATAAAACTTCATAAAACTGTATGCCAAATAACCTAAAATAAAATGTGCTGTATTTGTTTTCAAAGCAATTGTCAAAAGTTTCTGTGTAATTCAAGCTTATACATTAAAAACAAAATATTAATAAAAAATATAAGACATAAATTTTATAAAAACTTAACAGTTTTAATCAACAAACTAGCAATTATTTTAAAACTCACACGCAAAAATGATAAACTGATTAACTGATAGCAGACCACACATCTCAATGAAACGCAATAAGGTCTGAACTTCTCTCACTTCCTTTAGACTATGTCGACTATGCAAACGTGCAAAGAGGAAGTATTACTGATACCGATCATGAAAATCGGAAAACAAGATCCGGCAAGTGAAGATAAACAATAGAATGCAAGGCTTTCTCGGACGTCAACAAGCAAAAGCTTTGCGCGAAGAAAACTACAGCCATAAAAATAGCAAATGGCATCACCTTAAAAAACTGGAAAGATGCTACACTAAGCTTCACTCCTTTTTCAGCGCACGATATTAATACAACTGGAGGATACAACTAACCCAATAAATATTATACAAATATACGCTCCCACAACCGACAAAGACGATGATCAAAAATTCTATAACAGTTTTGAAGAAGTGATGAGCACAGCAAAGAAAGAATACGTACAAGAACGCCAAAGTAGGGCAGGCTAAATTTGGTGAATATGAATTAGGTACTAGGAATGAAAGACGAGATCGTTTACTTCAGTTTTGTCAAACTGAAGATTTAGTTAAAGAAACACATTTTTCTAATTGTTTTCAAGGCAACTATATGCGTCAACAACTCCTCAGCATTCACAAGTAAAACTAATAAGAAACCAAATAGAATACGTCATGGTGACAAAGAGATAAAGTAGGATAGTTTTAGCCTGTCGCATAAGTAATAAAAGTGTCTGTTCAGATTTGCCACAGGTAGTCAGCGGTTCTCAAATTAAAAATGTACGGTTTTCTTAATTTGATAATACCACATTATTGATTTTTTTAATAAATTAACTTTGTATTATGTTTTATAATAATTATATATCATAATGTAAATTGATAAACATTGAGTATTGTTGAGAATGTAATACATTTATATTGTATACACAGATATATTGGTGTAAGAGTAAGCGGAACGTACCCATAGTGTCATGGGTTGACATGACAGACAATAATAGTAATGTCAATGAGTATCATGTAGTTGTAGGTAGTAGTAAGAAGTATGGTGGCTTAAGTTAGGTTAGTTAATTAGTATGTATGTTATAGGAAATAAAGCCTTTTATAATAGTAGTAAAGTACGACTATTTATTTTCCAAATCCACACCTTAACATGGTAGCAGAGGTCCGTGGTTGGAAAGTCGTACCTTTTACAACAGAAAAAGTTTGGTGCAGTTTGAAAAAAAAAAGTGTGACACATGATGGCAGGTAGTAGTGATTTTAGAATACCTATATTCGATGGGGAGAATTATAAAATGTGGAAAAAACGTCTTATGCTATTTTTGAAAATGAAGAAGTGTGATGTTGTGGTAACCAGACCGAAAAATGAAAATGATGATACAAATTGGGATGACGATGATGTAAAAGCAATGAATTATATATGCGGTGCAATATCGGATCGACAGATGGAGTACATCGACGAAAAAACTACGGCGTATGAGATGATAAAGAAATTTGATAATTTATATTTGAAAGAATCAACGGCATTGCAGATAGTATGTAGAAATAACTTGGAAAGATTAAAATTGAACAACTATGGAGACTGTGCAACATTTTTTAGTGACTTCGAAAAAGCTATAAACGAGTTAAAAAGCGCGGGTGCTAGTGTGTCTGAAAAGGAAAAATTGAACTATATGTTAAACACGTTGCCAGAGTCGTACAGTTATATTGGTGATTTAATAGATACATTAAAAGAAGATGATCAAACTGCAGACTACGTAAAAACTAAGGTTATGATGTCCGAATTAAAAAATCAAAACAATGATTTTGGAAGAAAATCCAGTACATTTGTGGTAAATAAAGGTCGACAGGATCGATCATGCTTCCAGTGTGGCGAAGTTGGTCATTTCAAGCGAGATTGCAAAAATGGCGCCAATCAAGCGTCGGGTAATGGCGGACAAACGACAAGCAGTAGAGGCTGGTGGAGAGAAACGCGAGGTCGACAAGAAGCCGGAAGAGGAAGCTACGTCAGAGGACGTGGCCACTCACGTGGACAGCGCGGAACGCATGGAACAAGTGCACAGCGGTTCAACCGACAAGGACAGAAGAACGAAGAGCGAAACAGTGCTTCTTGGCTTACAACAGTAGCTCTTGGTAAGGATATGTCAGTTATTGCACAAAATACTGAAATAGGTAATGTAAATAATTGTATTGAAATAAAATGGCTTTTAGATAGTGGTTGTACAGACCACATTATTAATGATGAAAAATTATTTGATAAATGTAAATTACTTAAAGATCCCATTAATGTTTATTTAGGAGATAATAGGGTTGTAAAAGCTACTAAAATTGGAAATGTTTTAAGTTACTTTGATGCTTTTGGTAAAAAGAGTTTAGTAGATATGCAAAATGTTTTCTATGTTAAAGATATGAAATCAAATTTGATAAGTTATAGCAAAATAACAGAAAATAATAAGATTATTTCTCTAGGTAATATTTCAAAAGTTTTTGATAAACTTGGTAATATAACAGCAGTTGCTTTAAAAAATAATGGCTTATATATTATGAAAAGTAAATTAAAATCAGTTGAATTGCATGTAAATGTTGCAAATAAAGATATGAATAATATGAATCAAAAGGAAAAATGGCATCGTTTATTAGGTCATGTAAATTTTAAATATTTGAATATTTTATCTAAAGATCAGCTGTTGAATGGAATTCCTAATGAGTTTGAATCTGAATTTATGAAATGTAAGATTTGTATTGAAAGTAAAATGCATAATATTCCGTTTGTAAACAGTAGAAAAAAAGCTAAAGATATTTTAGAGATTGTACATACTGATGTTTGTGGGCCTTTTCGAACTACTGGGTTTAAAGGTGAAAATTATTTTGTTTCTTTCATTGATGATTATAGTAAGATTTCTAAAGTATATGCTATAAAATCAAAAGCAGAAGTATGTGATTGTTTGAATGAATATACGAATGAAAGTGAAAATTTGACTGGAAAGAAAATAAAGATTTTAAGATGTGATAATGGGAAAGAATATTTGAACAGTAAAGTCTACAGATTTGCAAAAGAAAGGGGTATAGTAATTGATAATTGTCCTACATATGTACATGAATTGAATGGGACTGCAGAACGGTTTAATAGAACTATAATGGATATGTCAAGATGTTTGTTGGCTGAAGCAGATATTCATAAAAAATATTGGCCTGAAATAGTTTGTGCTGCGGTTTATTTGAAAAATCGTACTTTATCTGATACAATTGAAAAGAAAACTCCATATGAAATATTTTTTGGACAGAAACCTGATGTTTCTAATTTGCGTTTGTATGGAAGTAAAGTTTTTGTACGAAGACCAGAACAGAAGAGAATCTCTAAATGGGATAAGAAAGCTGATATGGGAATTTTAATTGGTTATAGTAATGTTGGTTATCGTGTATTATTAAATGGCAGAGTCATTGTTGCTAGACACGTGGATATTGTTGAAGAAAACGTTAAGTGTATAGGTTTAGACTTTAACGAATCAGATAATGATAATAATGAAGAGTGTTACCCTGATAAAATTGATGAAAGCTCTGAAAATGACTCAATAGATGAAACTTTTGAAAGTACAAATGAAAGTATGGATGATAGTGTGAATAAAAATGAACCTGAGTTACCTAGATCTCACAGAGCCAAAAATCCTCCAAAGAAATTTGATGACTACTATGTATATAATAGTAGTATTTTTGTAAATATGTGTAGAACTGATATACCACATACATTTGAGGAGGCGATAAATTCTAATGAAAGTAAGTATTGGAAAACAGCTATGGACAAAGAAATTGATAGTTTAAATAAAAGTAAAACTTGGAAATTGGTTAAAAATGATACAAACAAAAATATTCTGGATGTTAAATGGGTTTATACTAAAAAGTCTGATAATACTTATAAAGCTAGATTGGTTGTACGAGGTTTTCAACAAACTGATGAAATTGATGATATTTATTCACCTGTGGCTAAAATGCAAACATTAAAGATTTTATTGTCATATTGTTGTCAAATGGGCCTAGTAATTGAACAAATGGATGTTGAAACAGCCTTTTTAAATGGTAAAGTAATTTCTGAAGTTTATATTAAACAACCTAAGGGTTATGAAGATGGAACAAGTAAAGTTTGTAAATTAGTTAAAGCTTTATATGGTTTAAAAGAAAGTCCAAGGGCATGGTATGAGTGCCTAGATACATTTTTGATAAATTTAGGTTTTGAAAGAAGTAATATTGATCCTTGTTTGTACGTTTATAAAATTGGAAATGATATTATTTACTTATTAATTTATGTCGATGATTTATTGATTTGTGGTAGAAATTTAAATGAAATTAAAAGGATTAAAATTTTATTATCAGAAAAATTTAAAATGAAAGATATTGGTGAAATTAAAGAATATCTTGGTATTACTGTTGATTATGATTCTAGTAAACATGAAATGAGATTGGATCAAAATAAATATATTGAATTATTAAGGAAAAAATATAATTTAGAAAAAGGTAAACTGTATAATACACCTATGGAAGTAAATTTAAAAATTGATAAATCTGATCATTGTGAAAGAAATATTAAATATAAAAATTTAATTGGTGCACTATTATACATAAGTTCGGCAACAAGGCCTGATATAAGTTTCAGCGTAAATTATCTGAGTAGATTTCAAAATTGCTATAATGAAACGCACTTTAAATATGCTGTACGAATTTTGAAATATTTATGCTTAACTAAAGATTTAAAATTGTTTTATAACAGAAATGAAAAAGTAAGTATTATTGATTGTTATGTGGATGCCGATTGGGCAGGTGATCATTTAGATAGAAAGTCTACAACTGGTTTTGTAATAAGATTGTTTGGTAATGTAATTTATTGGAAATCTAGAAAACAAAAAAGCGTTACAAAAGCTTCAACTTTTGCAGAGTATGTAGCATTGTCAGAAGCAGTAAGTGAATTGATATTTGTAAAAGAATTGTTGAAAATATTTGATATTGAAATAATAAAGCCAATTGATGTTTATGAAGATAACACTGGTACAATTAGTATAGCTAATTATGGCAATTTTACAAAAAATTCTAAGCATGTTGAAATTCATTATCATTATGTAAATGATTATGTTAAAGCAAATGTTATAAATGTGGTTAAAGTAGATTCTGATGATAATATTGCAGATATTTTTACGAAGTCCTTGGGCCAAGATAAATTTGAAAAATTTCGAAGTATGTTAAATTTGAATTAATGTAAATACAATGTAAATGTAAGGAGGCGTGTTGAGAATGTAATACATTTATATTGTATACACAGATATATTGGTGTAAGAGTAAGCGGAACGCACCCATAGTGTCATGGGTTGACATGACAGACAATAATAGTAATGTCAATGAGTATCATGTAGTTGTAGGTAGTAGTAAGAAGTATGGTGGCTTAAGTTAGGTTAGTTAATTAGTATGTATGTTATAGGAAATAAAGCCTTTTATAATAGTAGTAAAGTACGACTATTTATTTTCCAAATCCACACCTTAACAAGTATGAAATATACAGGGTCATTCACGCAACATGTTGGTTAAAAGTTTTCAAAGTTCTGGTCGTCACTGGTTTCTGCAAAGCATTCTTCATTTTTTAAATATTTGCATTCTTCTAGCACTTCCGGTTGTACCGGAAGTCGCCATTAAGTTTCTTATTTTAAATAGAAACTGTGCTTTTTGTTATTTTTTTTTTGCAATCTACGTAAAATTCTGGATCGATTTTTATTGGGATACCATTCTCGAAAAATAGCCGTTTTGATATATTTAAAGTTTTTGAAAAATTTTTCATACTACACATGCAACTTCAAAAATTAATATTGTGGTTAATATTTATGCTGAAAAAACAATTCTTTTTCAGCGTGTACTAAACTCTATTTTTATTTAAGCATAAACAAAATTTGCCAATGTTAATACTGGATGTTCAAAACTTTGTATTATATTTTTATTTTTATATATTTTATAAATATATCTATAAAAATATATATCTATATAAAACAAAGACTTATTCCTACTTCCCACATACACCTTCCCAAACCCACCGAGGTAGGTTGTCCTCCTGCGGTACAACCAGCCCCGGCTTTCCTCCGCCCCTTGGTCTTTGGAGCCAGGTCTCGATTATTTCGCGGTATCTCCCGTCAGGCAATGGGAGATTTCCGTGTATTTACATTTAAGTGGTGGGTTAGCCCATTTGGCTTTATCACTACCGGTCAAAGTAATTGTTCGGCGATCTAATGATGGTTGTGTGTGCCGATACTTGTTTTCCCTTTTCTGCACCAAGTGCAGTCGAGAGCGAGCAAGCATCGAATCCTTTCATCCGTCGTCTAATACCCAGTCATTCGTCCAGTCATGTACTTAATCTACCTTACTTGCTAATCTAATTTTTTTGGTGATTGCATTCAAGAGCGTCGTGCGGCATGCCTCCGCTCTCTCCTGCATGCGGTTTTTGTTTTATTTTTTTTTGTTTTTTTTTGTGGTTAGTACCCTTTTGTGTTAATTTTTCTATCTACGTCTTAATCTATGGACAGGTATCATCACTATCTGACTCGCTATCCGATTCATCTGAATCTTCATCTGTACTAATAATTAAAGGTCTTACTTCATCAATAACTTGTTCTATTTCATATGACTCTAAAATTTTTTTTTCAGTATGCTCAATACATTTCCGCCATTGTTCCTCATTGACTTGGTTTAGTGCATCTTGTCAGAGTTGTAAAAGGCTGGCTTCGTTGGTGGTCTTACATGCATGATTACCATAGTAGTTTTTAGTGATGCCCCACACCAATTCAATTGGATGTACTGGCAGTGATATGGTGGTAGTCTTAGGAGCTCATGACCATATTTTAGTGCCATTTGGTCAACGACAAATTTTTTTCTCAGCAATGTGTTCTTTGCACTTATTTAATAATTCAGTTTTTAAAACTAGATGTTCGTGTTCTATATTTTTGTCCGACAGCCACTTTCTTAAGTCTTCTTTTTTCCAGCTGCTTGTGGGAAACTTTTCCTCCTCTCTGATGTGATACAAATCATTGTCTAAGACTATTAATGAGGGATTTTCCAGATTTTTTAATAATTTTTCCTCAAACCAATGTTCAAAAATATCGGCATCCATATTTCCGTAGTAATCATGAGTTTTTTTTGTCGAAGAAAATATAAGACTAGCATTGGGTATAAAACCTTCCGTATTTCCGGCATGCAATATGAATATCTTTTGCCATTACTCGCACTAGTACTCGAATAGCATTTGGTAGAATCATCTTGCCAGGATGATTTGGTATTATTTCCTTTCGCAAAAATCCATGTTTCGTCAAGAAACACAAATTGTCTGGCAAATTCAGAATTTCTGTTTTTTAAATAGTTTCTTATAAATTTCCACCTTTTTCCAACATCATTGAACAGCTCGCACAACACTTTACGATTATTGGTTTTTTTGTATCTAAAACCCATAGCTGTTAATAAACTGATCAAACCCATATCACAAAGTTCTCTGTCCTTTATTTTTTGAATAAGTGTCTTTCTTGTAACATGTGCTTTTGCTTAGTACATGTCATAAATGATATTTCTGATTGAGATTTTAATACCTTGCGGCAAGTCGAGGGTTTTCGGATGCAAACGAATCCTTTTATTTTCCTTACTTAATTCCTCCTCACTCATTTTGCGAACTCTTTGCAAGGTCCGTTCTGAAATTCCACAAGCTGGACTTGTCCTTTTTTGAACTGCTAGTACTGATGTAATTGGTCCCACGTTGATTTTTTCTGATCGTTTTCTTGTACGTCATCCATCGTCACTATTGAAAACCGGCGATCGTTGAATACTAGCGAGATTTTTTGGAGCTCTCTGAATATATACACGAGGGGGCGAGACCTCGGTGGCAGGGCGCGTCCGGTCAATGGAGAGCCTCGACTCCGCAGACTGTTTACTATTTTTTCAAATATAACAACTAAAATTATCCAGTTATGCGACCGCAAGGAATGGATGCACTCCTCGAGACAATTTTATTTGAAATAAAATTAATAAAAGTTTTTTCAATAAATTATCATCACAAAGCATTCAATTTGCGTTTTTTCACGATTTATAAAAAAAATGTTTTGGTAGCGCTGATTTATACTCAGTACTACAGCCGACCAGTAGGAGGTTCGGTACCACAAAGCAGGTAAAAAGGGAAAGCATAACGGAGTGGCTGTAACTAGAGTCATAAATTATTTTTCGCTCGTTAATCCGAAATACGACAGGGTAAAACGACTTCACTTCACTGTAAATCCCGGGAAAAGTACTAAAAGTTCGTATTATGTGAACAACGGCATACAATTTTCTGGCTTCGATGACCTGGCAACGCTGCACTTACAGAAACATTAAATTCTTTCCGATACTGTATACTCGCATATAAAAAATTAATTATAGAGCACACTCACCTTGCCAATTCACTTGTTCTTCCCAAAAAATCCAATTTATCGAACAACTCCAAAATCATAACCACCTTTGTTAAATAATACTTCACAGTTTTATGTCTATATAACTGCGTCCTGTGCTCCCACCAAAAAGATAGGTCTTTGAAGGAATAGTAAGGAAATCTTTTGTGTAGAATATGGTAAGATATAGATTCGAAAGTATAACTTTGTAAAGCAATTTCGTATCTCATAAGTCTCCAAACGTCTAAAACAATTCTTCCTATCAATCGAAGTTCAGACTGTTCATATTCATCGTGTCTTGGTTTTGTATAATTATCTCTTGTTCTGCCCAAAACCGGTTTAAGGTTCATATTTAGCGTATATCCTCTTTCAATTAGATAACCCCAGGACAACAATTCTAATTCGTAGCCCGCAAAGATATCCGGGTCCCAATATTCAATTATTTTTAAAAATTCTTTTATTAAATTTTCTTCTGAATCTACATACGTTAAGGCACAGTTATAACCTACACCATCTAAAACTGGTATTTTACTACTCGTAGGACTTGTTATAATGTTGTTAATAGCAACGATGCCTTTACATTGGCGTTCCTTTAGTCTAGGCTCAGGTATGTCGTGTAATATTGAATAAAATATGGCTCTTATAGAGTCATAAGCTGGATCTGGTTTGTAATCACCTCTAGTACGAATATGCAATTCCATAACCATCACCGTCAGGTTTTGGTGTTCGATTACTGCTCTTGCATTTTGCAAATTTTGTGCCGAATTATTTATACTGTTATCTACATTGATACCCGTTATTTGACCTGAATAATTTACCGATGTTTCCTCGGTCAGTGACAAAGACTTTCTGACGGATCTTGTAAGAACCCGATTTCTAATTTCTTTCCTTCTCTTTTTGTAATTTTCTCTAAATGTAGGACTAGTTTTATCTGAAGGTTTTGACGATTTGAGGGTGCTACTTGCACTACTTTGACTAGATGTTGAATTTTTCGGCGTTACAGGAGATAAAGTCAATGTTAAATCCATTTCGTTGTCACTATTTGCTCCAGGGCTTAACGGTACATAAATCTTAACTTTTTGCTTGCGATTTTCTGTTACACAAGACTGTTTAGACTTTTGTTCGATCCAATCCTTAATGAATTTTAAACTGGGCGGTTTCTGGACTGGTGTTATTACACAATGCGTATTTTTACAATGACTAAGTATCACACTATTCATATTTGCTTTATTTAACTTTACATTGGACGGTAATTGTTCTAGTTCACACTTCCTAAGGATATTTAAACTATCAGTTGCTGTTTCAAATTCCGGTAAGTGAATAGCAGCCTTACTGTTAACCTTTAATACATTAAATCCAACTTCCACACTTGCTGTTACATCTTCGGCATTACTGTAAAACGGTTCATCAGTCTTGACATGAGGAATTTTGTACAAATCTAAGGAATTAAAAACCTCAGTTTTATTAGGTGGTCTAATTTTTGGAGTAATCAATACTATTTCAGAATTATTTAGCAAAGTTTTTTCCTCTGTTTCGATATTTAATTTACTATTTTCTGGTGTAGATTCCATGTTAATTTCCGGTTTTAGTGCATCTTCTTCAATTATAGTATTTAAATTATATGAATGTTTCTGAATCTGTTGATATGGTGTTAACAAATCAGAACTGGAGCTTCCTGAGGAATTATATTTTTCTTGAGAACATTTTTGAGAAGAATATGGCGTTAAATACTTTGAACATCCTTCCCTAGCAACGAAATTTGTTTCTCTATCATATATTTCAGAAGGTATTAATTTTGGCATGTTCTTTATTTCTGTATTGAAAAAAGATTTCTCGTGTTCATCATTATCTGTACTGAAAATTGTACTCGAATTTGAAGTAGAATCCTTACTAGAGTCGTCATGAATTGAATCTTTTGTAGAGTTCTCTTCTACAGGAGTTGGAATATTTTTTGTTGAAACATTTTCGTTTTTTAAGTAGGTACAAACTAGTTTTTCTTCAACAATTGTTGAATGTAGATCCAATGTTGATTCCTGATCAAATAGTTGGCGTTTTACAGTAATATCTGATGCTGACCTTTGTCTTCTTTTAGATATTGAACGAGGTGTCTTTTGATCCCTAAAATTAAAAAAGAAGTGTGTTATACAACACTAAATTATAAATTACACTGAAATCAAAGTACTGAATAGTTGTTAATGACTCCAGTATCGTTTAAAATTATACCAGCATAAAAAATATATTTTCTGGTACAATTTAATCAAACTTTAAAAGTAAAGGTTTCCATTCAGTGGTCCATATGATCTGATTTACGGTCTGCGAAAAATTTCAAACGTGTGCCGGTGAATAAAACTGAACGCGAAGTCCAATCCTTACACCTTACGGGCCACAGAACTCTCCCTCTCCTCTTCAATCTTTTCTGCTGCGTAAGGATGTAGTGGCGTCATGTAATTTGTTTAATTATTTTTGTTCAACTATCTCTCTCCTGTACGTGCTGTTTTGCTTCGGAGAATGAGTAACCAATCATCTCCTTTATTTGGTCCGACCATCGTACTGGAGATCTTCCTCTGGATATTTTACCCGCTACATTACCTTCAACTATCATTTGCTCCATGCCTTCTCTTGTTCTAGTTATATGTCCAAAATATATCAGTATATTTTGGTTGATAGTTGTGATGAGTCTAGTTTTTATGTTAAGTTCTGCTAGAATTGAGTTATTTGTGCGATGGGCGGTCCATTGTATGTGCAACATTCTACGGTAGACCCACATTTCAAATGCCATTATATGCTTTGAATCGGCTTTTTTTATTGTCCAAGTTTCTGAAGCATACACTAGTGGCCAAAATTCTGGAAACTTAGCAAGACTCGTCTCATGATCATTATTTATATAGTTTACCACTACAATTACATTTTTATTTTATTGTTTTATATTCCTGCATAATATTTTATGTATTTCTCACATCATTATTTAATAAAATATGGAACTAGATTCAAGCGAAACGCCGAAAATCCGAGATTTTTGAATGGCAACATTGACAATACTGTATTGCGTCAGGGTTTTGCTAGTCAGTCAACAACCCAACTGGAAGCGGTTAGGTGGTCTTTAGTACAGTTTCGTGCGGCTTTCAGTGTTTATTAGTGACATCAAGTAGTTGTTACTAAGGTGATATTGTTTAATTGTCAGAAAGGAATTCATCAGCGTCGATTGAACGAAAATGGCAACCAGAAACCCAAAACGTGTTGACTGGTCGTCAGGAAAGAGAGCCAAAGCAATTATCCTTCGAGAAGAAGGTTACACTTATCAAGAAATAGCAAACAAATTGGGTGGTAGCGCCACAAAATCAGGTGTAATGAAAATTTGCAAACGTGGAACGACAAAATCAGCTGAAAGATTTGGCAGAAAACCCAAATACGCAAGTTGCAGATCCGCAAAAGATATTAACGGTATTGTTGTGTGAAAATGGATTGCGAGCACGAATTTTTAGAAAGAAGCTGTTCCTGAACAAAAAAACAGAGGTAACAACGCATTGATTGAGCTTTGACACACAGAGGGTGGACAGAAAAACAATGGAGTAAAGTAATTTGGAGTGATGAAACCAAAATCTCGATCTTTGGGAGTGACGGAGCGTAGTTTGTTCGCCGCCGACCGGGAGAAGACCTTTTGCTCCAGTGTACTACGGTCACTATTAAGCATCCTGTGAGTGTCATGGTATGGGCTTGCATGACCACTAATGCAGTTGGACGTTTAGCAGTAATAGAGGGCAATGCAAAAAATATCAGGAAGAGATACTGCAAACCAAACTGCTGCCGACTATCAGAGATTTGTTCGAAGGGGATGCCCAACAATGCATCTTCCAGCAGGATGGAGCGCCTTGTCATACGACTAAGACTTCCATGGAATGCTTGAGAAACCATGATGTTACTGTTCTGCCTTGGCCTGGAAATAGTCCCGATCTAAATCCAATAGAAAATTTATGGTCAAGGCTGAAAGTCTTAGTATCACGCCGAAACCCAAGCAACAAGAGAGAACTGATAGAAGCTATTATTCAAAACTGGTTTAGAGTCTGTCCTAAAAAACAAAGGTTATCCTACCAAATACTAATTTTGTTAATAATAATCATCGTACCATTTTTTTTTTAATATATCTTCTAATAGCTAACGGCTGCTGTTGTATTTATTTTTAAATTTGTAAAGGTTTTTCTCCCTTAAAATAGATCTTAAATATTAAGTAGAAGCATTAAACGATGTAATAAAAGTATAGATAAACTTATAAATAACATAAGTCTTGTGAAAAAGAGGAATGCTGATAACAAAACTAAAATTTTTGAAAAATTTCCAGAATTTTGGCCACTAGTGTAGGTGGCGATAGGAAATATCAATGCTCGAACAAGGCGTAATTTTCTGTTTTTTGTGACGTCAGAGTTCTTCCAAATTTTTGTGAGTTTGGAGGTTGCCGATCTGGCAATTGTGATGCGTCGACGGATCTCGTCTTTGCATTCTCCACTAAATTGCCTGACCACTTCGTAACCTGCCATGTTTCTTATCTCTGCTTGGTTGTTTCTGATTCTATCGATGATCATCACTTAGGTTTTCTGCATATTTATTTTCAAACCATATTCTGTACTCACCGTGCCTAGCCTATTCATAATTTGTTCCAGTTCTTCTGGTGATGACGCCAATATAACAGTGTCATCAGCATAACGTAGTTTTTTGATTTTTCTTCCCCCTATCGTTGCTCCACCTTGTCATTCCTCAAAATCTTAACACATATGTTCACTATATACATTGAATAGAATAGGGGATATTATGCATCCTTGTCAAACTCCAGATTTTAATTTGAAGTTTTTCGAAACCACATTATTAACTCTTACATTAGCAGTATTATTTACATATAGTTTTTGTAATAAATAGATTAGATGTTCTGGAGTACTTATTTCTCTAAATATATGCCCCATTTTATTCTATTTAACGGTATCGAAGGCTTTGTAATAGTCAACAATGCACAATGTTATAATATGTAATATATTTCTATGTTAAACTCTCGAGATTTTTCGGTAATTTGACGAATATTAAGAATATGTTCTCTTGTTCCTCTACCTAGGACGAATCCGCATTGTTCTTGGAGAACTTGTGGTAAGAGAAATGATTTTAGTCTTTCATTGATGATGGTTAGAAGTACTTTGCTCGCATGTGATATCAATGCTACTGTGCGGTAATTACTGAAATCTGCCGATGAATCTTTTTTATATATGGGAATAAACGTGAGTTTACTCAGGTCATTTCCGGTATTTCAAATCTCATTGAAAATTCTAAGCATTACTTCCGTCCCTAATTCTCCCATTTCTTTGAGTGTTTCAGCTGTTATTCCATCTTCTCCTGCTTTTCTGGATTTTAGCTTTTTAATTGCCGCCTCAATTTCTGATTTCAATATTTAAGGTTATTTTTCATAACTTCTTTTCTCTGTATTAGTGTCTGGGTCGTTGTTAGAGAATAGTATTGTTTCCACACATCTGCGATACCGTCTGGGTTTGTTATGATATTTCCACTATTATCTTTAATATTCTGTGTTTGCGGTTTGAATTCTCTCGGTAGATACTAGACTTTTGAGAAAAGTTCTCTAGATTCTTGGCGGTTGGCATGTTCCTCTAGTTGTACACATATGTTTTTAATATAATTATTTTGTCCCTTCTGCACAAGTGTTTTATAGTATTTATGGTGAGTATCTCTACTTCTTTTTGTTTTGAATATGATGTGCCGTTTCTAAGTTTTCGTAGTAATGTTGACGGCTATTCTGATCTTAGATGCTGCTGCTCTGAATACTTCAATTGATGTGCATCCGTACCATTCCCCCAAGTTACGCAACCATGAGATTCTTCTTCTTCCTACACTTCTCTTGACCTGGATTTTCCAGTGTATAATCAATTGAAGTAGGTTGTATCTCTCATTACGCATAACATGCCCCAGGTATTGCAGCTTTCATGTCTTGATGGTTTCCAATGCTTCCATTCTTTTGTTGATTCTTCTCATGACTTCGTTGTTTGTTACATGCTTGGTCCATGATATCTTCAGGATTCTTCTATACACCCACATTTCAAATGCTTCCAACTTTTTAGCAGTCGACGCGTGTCCATGCTTCCATTTCATAAAGCAGAGTTGAGAAAATATAACACCTTGCCAGACTAACTCTCAAGTCCAATTTTATTTCTCTTGCACAAAGTACCTTTCTCATTTTATTGAAGTTTGTACGTGCTTTCTTTATTCGAACTTTGATTTCTTTTGAGTAATCGTTTGTGTGATTAATTATTGTGCCAAGATAGTGGTAGTTTTCAACTTGTTCTAAAGCACTACCGTTAATTGTCAGGCTTTCACCATTATTTTGGGTTTTTGATATCCTCATAAATTTGGATTTCTTGGTGTTTATTGATAATCCATATTATTCTCCATACTCAACTATCTTGTTCATTAGCTTTTGGAGGTCTTGTAGGTTGTGTAATATTATGATAGTATCGTCCGCATATCTAATGTTGTTAATTGGTGTTAATTAATGCGTACGTGTGCCTGCTGCGTTAGATGATGAGTACCTTTAAATAATAAGCAAAACTTATGGTTTCTACATGACAGCTGTCTCACCGACTTTAGTAGGAATGTACGAGACTTTCTTGATAATAACTACGAAAACCACTGGATTGGGAGAGGCGGTCCAGTTGCTTGGCCAGCAAGGTCGCCGGATTTGGTGACGTCATTAACAGCTATTTTGTACTTTGAGAATAAATGTTGAATCTCTTATTTGACGAACATATACTTGGATACCAATATATGAGCAAAGCTATCCCCAACTCTACCATGATAGAAAAGTATACGGAATGGCAAAAAGTGGCCACCCTATAAATTTCCGAAAATAAAAATTCATTGGAAGTTTTATGCACTGTACCATATTGTGTCTCAATTTAAATAATTATTGCGATCATTTATGCTTGTTTTTGACAGTTTTGACGTTTATGTGGTTGTTTTTTGTAGTCGGTGTTTATCTTCTAAGTTAAAAACATTTAATTAAACAGTAATTTAGCTTTTTAAACGTGGCATTCGACTAAGTGTTATCTTGTAACTTGACTAAGTGTGAAACTTTAGGTATTCCGAGAACTACAGTACGGAGAACTTCCCATCGCTTTACACAGACTGGTCTGGTTCCGGTCGTAGAAGAGTTATCTCGCAAAGAGATGTTCGTTTTATTGTGATGGAACTTTTAAGAAATCGCCATTCCAATGCAATTGCAATAAACCGTCTGCAAGAGGTTAGAAATGTGAATGTAAGTGAGAGAATGATTAGAAGACTCCTCAAATGATAGGACTAATGGCAAGAAGGCCGGCTATTGTTCCCGAATTACAACCCACACATTGTAGGAATCGATTAATTTTTGCTCAACAACATCAACACTGGGATATACAGGATTGAAGCCGAATTCTCTTTACTGATGAATCGCGGTTTCGTTTGAAGCCTGGCGATGGCCGAGAAAGTGTTTGGACACAGAGAAATGAAAGATATACCCAAGCTTGTATGTCCTAGAGAAGAAAGTTTGGCGGTGATGGTGTCATGATTTGAGCTGGAATCTCTTTTGAAGCTAGAACCGAACTTACTTTTATCAATACTCCTTGAATGCTCACCGGTATACAGAGGATGTTTTGGTAGAAGCAGTACTTCCATTTGGTCCATTTATTGAGGACAATTTCGTCTTTATGCATGATAATGCACGGCCAAAAACTGCAAGAATCGTGACAAATTGCTTGGAGAAAGTAGGAATTAATACTCTAGAATGGCCAGCCTGCAGCCTTGATAATAATGCCCATTATTTGTTTTAACAATAAAAGATATTGAGTATACAATATGAATCAGTACATAAAACTTGAATTTTGAAAACCAATGAATTTTGATTTTCGCAAATTTATGCGGTGGCCTCTTCATTTACGGATCAGTGTACTTATGTATACTATACAATCAAAACAACTCATATAGACTGTTACAAGAACCCAGAACTCTACATATTGAGTTTACTAATTGCTATAAGTATAATTCAGTGAGTTATTATAATGTGAACATTCTATATAATGCTTTTAGAAAATGATTTTAGTGAAGTTAGTAAGACGACCTTTAAGACAAAAAAATAATAAAAAATTCAAAGTAATTGAACATTTACTGACCCAAACCATCCCCTGCTATTTACAAGAATATAAGCTATGATAAATATGAAACATTTCTTTAATAAAAGCTAAGCCCTTTTCAAACTCACTTTTCTATTTTTATTTCCGGTTTATGGATAGCTAAAACATGAAAATATAGCTTTAGTAATATCCAGAGACATGTAAACGTACTCAATACTGTATAAGTTTGTAACCATTCAATATTTACCTAATTTAGAACTTTTTATTACAGATTTTGGGGATTTTTGAACAGATATTGGTAATGCTTTATACCTAGAATGTATTTTAGGTGTTTTACTTCTTCGATCAGATATAGATTTCTCTTTTTCTTCTTCTGAAGACTCACTGTCGTAATTTCCATCTAGAAAATAAGGAAGATCCACATGCTTGTTCGAAATACCTAAAAGAAGAAATAATGAAAGAACATAAGTATTAAATAGTTGGTAAAATAGTTAAACCTAACAAATTACGCGAGATTTAGACGCTGTTCTTTTTCTCGTCTCTCGCACCTCACAGAATTCTTATCTAAAAAATAGCCAACGGTATTGTCTTTTACACAGTCTCCGTAGTTTTGTAGGTCGAAAAATTCATTACTGCCCGCGTCATGTATATATATATATATATATATATATATATATATATATATATATATATATACATATATATATATATATATATATACATATATATATATATATATATATATATATATATATATATATATATATATATATATAAGAGTAAGAAAAAAAGAAGTACTTGTGACTCGTTTGGAAAAAATATAACACTGTTTTTGATGGGTTGGAGTCAATAAAAGGGGCTATTTGTTGACTATTTTTTACTCGAGCTTTCAATTGTGAATATAATTTTTATCAAGAGCTTCTAAAAAATACAAAATATCTTACAAAGTTGAACTAGAAATAAAAATTTTTTTTTTGTTAACTCACCAAATAAAATTAGTTTTTTATATAAAACTACTGCTTACATATTAAATACAAAAAATATTAATAAAAAAATGTCTTATTCTAATAAATGTTTCTCTGAAAAATTTTGATGAAGTTTCTTAAGAAAAAAATTGAATTTCTAAACAAAAATAGAATAGCTACTTTTATTGACTCCAACCCATGAAAAACAGTGTTATATATATATATATATATATATATATATATATATATATATATATAAAGGAAGAATGATCACAGCTGTCTAATTATTAATTAGTATAATGGTAAGGTTAATTGGGTTAGCAGCTGAATAATGAAAGCCAAAGTGTGCTCTTTTCAACGACTTCGTTATATTTCGTTAAATTTCTTTAACATCTTCAGACGAATGCTACAATATGTTACAAAATGGTGAAATTGTGTATTTTACAGGCAGGTACATTAACTAGAATGTATGTATATGAATAAACGTTACTAAATAGGGAATACTTTATCTTGAAGCTTGCATCAGATCATTAAATAAACATTGGTCAGAAATTAGTAGACATTGTACAATAGATAAAGATATGTTCATAAACTTAATCACCTTCTTATTCAATAATACCTATTTTTCTTTTGACAACACATACTACAAACAAACTTTTGGAACACCAATGGGAGCAAAAATTAGCCCCATTCTTGCTGCATATGTAATGGATGACCTGTTAGACACAATCATTCCAGTACTACCTTTCAACCTTTTCTTTTTAAAGAAATATGTAGATGACATGATCTTAGCTGTACCCAACAATATGATAGATGAACTACTATTTATATTCAATAGCTACGATCCTTACATACAATTTACCATGGAAGTCGAAGATGAAAATCAATCTATTCCTTTCTTAGACACTAAGTTAATCCGCTCAAATGATAACATCATTATAGTCGATTGGTACACAAAATCAATGAGTTCAGGCAGGTACATTAACTACATGTCCTATCATAAACACTCCACCAAACTAAATTTAGTAAAACAAATGAAAAATAGGGTTCTACTAATTTCAGATATATCATTCCATCAAAAGAATCTCAAAATACTTTATGATCTCTTTATAGATAATTCCTATCCACCTCTTCTTTTAAAAACACTTTTATATAATACTACATCAGGAACATCTATCAATCTAACTACCTCCCAACGTTCTAACATAGCAAGTACAAATTCACATAATACGGTTACCAGTCAAACCCTTCCAACATATTGTGTGCTGCCCTACATACGGGAACTAACACCAAAACTAACTAGAATCTTTAAATCATATGATAACATCAAAATAGCCAATAAAACAGTTTTAACAGTAAACTCTATTTTCTCAAAAATGAAAGATCGTACTCCGCATGACCAAATATCTAATGTTGTTTACAGTATTCCTTGTATGGACTGCAATGGCAAGTATATCGGCCAAACCTCTAGACGTCTTAAAGACCGTGTTACCACTCACAAAAGTGACTGTAGACTTTACCCAGATAGATGCACCCTAGCCAACCACGTTCACACCCAGAACCACAGAATGAATTTTGCAGATGTCAAAATCCTCGAAAAAGAAACAGCTTATAAGAGAAGACTTTTTTTAGAAATGACCCACATAGCAACAACAGATAATATAATCAACACCAAATCAGATATACAACACCTTAGTGAAATTTATTCCTTTCTACTACAGTTGGAAACAAAAAATAATCAAGTCAACGAACTGGAATATTCTGAGTAGTATAATATTGTCTATTAAAACTCTTCTGACCATCCAATAGAAGTAGTAACCTAATCATTATTATTGCAATTGTTGCATTTTTCCAGGAAATAAAATTCTTAAGAGTAATAACAACAATTAAAATAACTTTAAAAGAAATAATCACAAAGAAATAAATAAATTCTATATATATTTATTAACAACAGAATTTAATTGTCTTAAATTAACATAACATAATTTTCAATTAAATGTAACTTTACACATGAACTGAACACAGCTTTAGTTTTCTGGCTGACATCTACTAATATGATAGCTGACAAGACACTTTAACCTTGAGGTACACACTAAATTTTCACCTCCTTGTGCATAGGTGAATAGACTGGTCCAAAAAATGACAATGTGATATGTAGTTGTGTTTTAACTGTTTTGTTTCTTAAATGTTCAATGTTTTTTAATATTTGTATTGTACTATCACACTGGACAAAAATAACAAAAATGCACTTGTATTGTTTGAGTTTTCAAGCCACCATATAACACATACAACTTATATTTTTTTTTTGCTTTATAAAAAAATCTTCAAAAAAGTTTTTCAACATGGAACTTTCAAATACCACTGTTGCCTGCAACCTCACACAAGTAAGTGTTTCACTACATCTTATGTAAAATACACAATTTCACCATTTTGTAACATATTGTAGCATTCGTCTGAAGATGTTAAAGAAATTTAACGAAATATAACGAAGTCGTTGAAAAGAGCACACTTTGGCTTTCATTATTCAGCTGCTAACCCAATTAACCTTACCATTATACTAATTATATATATATATATATATATATATATATATATATATTTATATATATATATATATATATATATATATATATATATTATAGTTTATTTCGTCTTCCGGGTTTGGACCGTGTCATTTGTGAGTGACCCAAAAGTGGGTTCATCTCGACGTTTCGCTACAATTATATGTAGCTTCTTCAGGAGAAACAAAGAAAAAGAAAAAGAAAACAAAAGAACAGGAAGATGGGTAGTTAGCAACGGTAACTCAGTTACTCAACGCAACCAGAGGCGAATACTAACTACCAAGATGGGCATTTGGTCACAGTAACTCAACTACTCAACGCAGCCAGAGGTGAAAACCAAATGCCAGGACAGGGATTCACGTCCAACAGCTCAGAACACTAACGCGTCGAGAGGCGGGGAGTGAATCCGACGATTACTCCGCTACCGCTCTATTTATAGTCGCGGTGCCTGTCGTGTCGGGACGTATCGGCACACTTCGTGGCGCGAACGTCAAGAAGCGCGCGCTGGCCAATCATGTGGTGGTGGCGGGACCGGATGGTGGCTCTAGACTGAGATTCCAGATGGGAGACAAGTAGTATCCTTCCTCTCGATTGATATTATGGGGATTTTTTCGGATCTCTAGAGATTCGCGGATTTTCCTGGAATAAAAGAAGGGGCTCTTAGAAATAATATGGGTTTTTTCGAACAATATGGAATGACCGGTTTCTTGGCAGTGTTCGGCAACTGCAGAATGGGAGAAAAGACCTGATCGAATGCATCTTTGATGCTCTTGAATCCGAGTTTTGACGGAACGACCAGTTTCGCCAATATACACATGTCCACATGAACAAGGAATAGAATAGACACCACAGGAAGATAGGGGCGGTAATGGGTCCTTAGGAGAGGGTAGATATTGTGAGATTTTCTTGGGTGGTCGAAAAGTAGTCCTGATACCTTCTTTGCGAAGAATTTTGCCAATCCTATCAGTGACATTTCGAATATACGGAAGAAAAGCCACAGGAGTATTACCCGAAGATTCTGAATTTGTTGTCCTATGGTGTAAAGGGGGATGTAGATGTCGGTGTGTAATATTTTGAATTGTGGACTTGGAGTAACCATTGGCGACAAGGGTTTTTTGCAGATGGCCAAGTTCTTCTCTAAGGTTGTCGGGTTCAGAAATCGAAATGGCCCGATGGATGAGAGAGTTGATCACAGAATTCTTTTGGGCAGGATGGTGGTGTGATGAAGCATGTAGGTAACGATTCGTGTGAGTCTTTTTTCTATAAACAGAGTGACCCAATCGGCCATTGGGCTTGGAGGTGACTAACACATCGAGAAAGGGAAGGGACCGATTATTTTCTACTTCCATTGTGAATTTTATACTCGGATGTTGTGAGTTAAGATGATCTAGGAAGGAAGAAAGGGTATGCTGACCATGGGGCCAGATGATAAATGTATCATCAACGTAGCGGAACCAGACTTTTGGTTTTAAGGGGTAAGATTCTAGGGCTAAAGACTCAAAGGCTTCCATGAAAATGTCAGCAATGACAGGGGAAAGGGGAGAACCCATTGGTGTTCCAGATATTTGTTTGTAGAAATTGCCTCTAAAAGAAAAATATGTTGAAAGGAGGCATTTTTCGGCAAGATCTGCCAAAACCAAAGACTTGTTATCATTGGTCAAGTGATCTCGCAGAACAACTAGAGAGTCATGTATGGGAATATTGGTAAATAGGGATGATACATCGAAACTGACGAGAATATCTTGGGGATCGACTGTGAGAGAGGAGATTAAGGTGATGAAATGTGTGGAATTTCGGACATAAGAAGAGGTACGACCAGTATAGGTCTTAACTGATTGGACAAGTACTTTGCGAGTTTGTAGGTAGGAGAGTTAATCGTAGTCACAATGGGACGAAGAGGTACGTTATCTTTA